CTGGGCACGGGTCGTGACAGCATCCACTTCAGCGGGACCCATGGGAGCGAAGGCGGAAACAAGGGGCGCCAAGTCATTGCCAAGGAGAACATCCGCTGGTAAATCCTTCATGACCCCCACATTCACATGTCTAGCGCCAACTCCCCAATCCAAATGTACCTGTGCAACGGGCAGACGAAACACAGCACCCCCGGCTACTCGCACTGCGACCGTGTCCCCTGTATGTTGGGCTTCGGATACCAGGTGCTTCTGGAGCAAAGTCATGGTTGCCCCGGTGTCCCGTAGACCACTGACCTCCTTCCCGTTGACTTTAACACACTGTTGCCTGTTATCCCGGTGGGCAGCCTGAACGGGGTCTGCCTCATGCAGGATTCCCCAGCACTCCTCTTCCTCTACACAGTGAGCGGCTGGGATGGGAGGTCGTGGATTGCCGCCGGCTGGTCTCCTCCAGGACTGGTTCTGGTTGGCGTTGTTCATTGGGCACTCGGGTCGCTTGTGCCCTAGTTGCTTGCATAGATAGCACCGGATGGGTTGGGTATACTCCCGTGAATTGAACCGAGGTGGCTGTTGGTACAGGGCAGATGGAGGAGGTGCTGCTGGGCGATGCATTGGAGGCTGGTATATGTTGGCTGCTTTTGGGGCTGCTGGCCTGTACTCCACTCTGGCGGGAGCCTTGCTGATAAGACTATCCAGTTTGCGGGCGTCGGTGTACTCATCCGCCAGGCGAGCTGCTTTGTGCAGAGTGGAGGGTTTACGGCCCCTTACCCACTCTCTGAGCCCTGCTGGCAATTTATCAAAGCAATGTTCCAAAAGAAACATCTGCAGCACCTCTTCTCCGGACACCGCCTGGCACCCCGCCATCCAGTGGGCAGCTGTGCGGTGCACTTTGCATGCCCATTCTACGTATGAGTCCCTAGAGGTCTTGACAGTGTCTCGGAACCTCCTCCGGTACGCCTCAGGTGTAACGGCATACCGGGAGAGTAAAGCTTCTCTGACGGCCACATAATCCCCAATCTCCTCATCAGGAATGGCCCGAAAAGCCTCGCTGGCCCGGCCGGATAACTTGCCGGACAATATAGTAACCCAGTCTTCCAGGGGTACCTTGTGCAGGGCACATTGCCGCTCAAAATCAGCAAGGTACCCATCAATCTCTCCTTCTGTCTCACTGAAGGCTTTAAACGCAGTAAATGGTACCTTTTTCCTATCTCCCGGGTTTGCTGTGACTGGGGCTGCTGCAGCACCGCTTTGGCGAAGCAGGTTGGCCTCCACAGCTGCCATGACCCGGTCAATGGTCTCTGTAGTCGGGTTGGGACCATAATGTGCCAGCCTGATTCTTACCGCCCGGTCAAAGCTTGCCTCCTCGGGGGTTCTGTCAGCTGCGCTGGGTCCACTGGTTCCCTCTGCTGCTGGTACTCCATCCATTTCCAGCAATAACGCAATAATCTCTCTTTTTCTGAGGTTGCTGGCTTGTCCCCCTCTTTGCTCCAATAAATCCTTTAGGGTAGCTCTCCTCAGGTTTTGATATTGTAATTCCATTTAGTCCTGGTTGTAGTGGTCTCTTTGGGCGTTGAGGATCATCCCACCGCTGCCACCAGTTGTTACGGTACCTCCAGTAATGAAATGTACAAACCGCCGTTTAGTGAATGCTCCCCGTTCGCAATAATGTATGCTGGTAGCGTGTATAGTAAAACCATGCGAACCGCCAGCTAGGGAACTCCAAACTCCCGAACGGTACCTGTACGGCTATTTCCCTCCACGAGCTCCAAATCCACGAACTGCCAATATTAGCCGAACGCTAATAACTTCCAAGCGGCAAATAATTCCAATAAGCAGTCTCTAAGCGCCGGTAATAAAATCCCCCCCAATAACGAGACCAAGCTCCGCTGTGAGGGTAAAACATGAACTGATTTACTGTGGGCTACCTGTCCGGTATTTATGCAGGTCTCCCACTTGGTGGACACTCCCCTAGGGGACCAAATGGGAGACTGAAAGGACAGAAGGACCTGGGGACATTTTGGACATACATCCCCACAATATTCCCAGCATGCATCACAGTTCCCTCCCCTCTGCTCAGGAGATAATTGGGAAGTAATGCAATTATCTCCCAGAGCAGAGACAAATCGCCATTTTAAGTACAAGTCATAAAACACATAAAAATACATAACTTTATAACTGCCGAACATATTGCATTCGTGTAACACATCCCCAGATAGCCTGGATCTGAGTGCATATTATTGGCGAATAGCGCTCAGATCCCATTCGTGTAGTTCAATCGCCATGGAGTCAAAGTCTATTACAGTTCTTCGGTATGCGATTGACTCCATGGGACGGCTATCTGGGTTAAGTCCATTCGTGTTGTTGAATCTCCCGAACGGCCGGCATTCGTATGCTTTTGTCGATTGAGAAGGGGAGGTCGACGGCTTCAGCGGTGTTCGGTTGAAAAAGTGTCCGTTTTCAGTTCCATGAAATAACCGTCGAACACCGCTGGTCTTTCGCATGGTTAAAATGGCCGCCGCCTCGTGGTCGACATACGAACGACGACCACCCGGCATTCGGTTTTAATTGAGAAGTGTCTGTGGTTAACCGCAACGTTCTAATTGGGATCAATAGGTTAACCAGCAGCACACTTCTCTTCTGGGTGGCCGTCCGTTCAGTAGTTCCGTTCGACAAAAACCGACATTCCCTTAAACAAAGCATACAAACGGGGAAATTCATGCAAACGGCAAAACAGACGAACACAGTACTTTTAATCCAGACAGATGGGTCTGTCACATACGTAGTGGGGAATTACGATACCACATAACATAGATAACCCTATTAAAAAAAAAAACAATAACGACAGACAACTTAGTATGGATGAACAGGCCACAGCATTTATTATAACATAAATAAATTACTGCATAACACATCCATAACTTTATTTATTAAACTCTTCTTTCTGTTAGAAATAAATAATCATAAATTAACATATATACATATAATAACAAAACATGCTATGCAGAGACCCAACCGTCCTTGCCAATAAACATCCAGTGGTTCCTAATCACCACTTCCTCTCACCTCCCCCCTCGTCATAAAAAATCCTTCCAATGCCCGCCATCAGCCGACCTTATCCATGCTCGATGGGCACGATACCTCAGGCAACCTAATGTTTAACCTTTGAAGCAGGGGAGGTTGAGACCTGCAAAACATAAAAACTTAGTCCATCCCTAGACATAAGCCTTCAAACTTAATTGGCAAGGACATACCCCCGGCTAGCTGTGACTAACTGAAACTAAAAGGGGTGGGTGGGCGGGAAGCTGTTTGCTGGCCCGAATCCCAAGTGGCACTGAGATAAGACCTCCCCCCACACTAACTTACATTAAGCCTAACCCCTCCCATGCACACTTCCCAAGTCCCTCCCCTGTATCTATCCCCACACTCCTACATGTGCCCTTGTCCGCTTAGCTGCGCTATCTCCCCAGGGCCTAGATGTGAAGGCCTAACCGTGGGTGAGATCAAACGTGTGGGGAAGAGGATTACTATATAGATAGATAGATTTAAAAAGGGTTGTTGCTCCGTGGGTCTGGGCTGTGTGTTTGTGATACATTTATAGTATTGTGTTGTTGCCTTTTAATAAATACCTTTTAATGTAGACGAACCTTGTGTAATATATATATATTAATTTGGTGATACACCACACCTTGCAGGGAGCTCAGGGTTTACGCCACCATCTTCTTCGGCTTGCAAGCCACACCCCCAGTGGTAAATATTTTAATTGTTTTGCTGCTAATCTGCTAAATAGTAAATTTTGGGGCGTGCACTTCATATCTGAGAGTCAAATAGAAGCGTCTAATAGTGCGCTTACAGCGCAGTGGTAAACATTCTTATTTTCTGGGTGCTAATCTGCTAAATATCTGAGAGTCAAATCGAAGCGTCAAATAGTGCGCTTACTGCGCAGTTGTAAACATTCTAATTGTTTTGCTGCTAATCTGCTAGATAGTACATTTTGGTGCCTGCTCTTCATATATACAAGTCATGCTACAACAAAATTAAACAGGTTTTAAAATATGTGTGGGCCAATCAGTGGCTGTAAACAACAAAGTTTTACTGGTTACGTTCATCACTACACCCTCTAATGAACAGGACCTTCATGTAGTGTGTTCTTTTTTTTAACTCATACAGCATCCTTTCATGTGCTTTTCAGATGTCATATTGCTAATTATCAATTTTTGTTTAGCCTGATTTTTTTTTTTAAAGTGAAAAATAAGTGTTATTGTGATCGCTTCATATACAGAAGCATTAATATACATTTCTATATTGTGTAAAGACACAACTACAAAGTTAAAAACCAAACACCAAAACAACGTGCCAGACAATCTACCTGTGCATGGCTAGTGTGATACAATAAGTCTACATCTTAAAAATGCAATAACCCACAGAAGATGGGCAAGAATTTTTTTTGCAAATGGAACTTTGATTCGAATTTACTACATCGGCTACTTGTAATATTGTTTCACACCTACAACACTTGTTACACAGATCTAAGTGATAGAAAACAGATTGATATTAATATTTTTTTCTGATAAAATGATGGGTTATCAATTCATTCTAGTCTGTCCCTACATATTTAACTGAACTTTTAATTAAATCAAGTTTCATCTTTAGTTCAATGATGTATTGTTACAAAATATATGTATATGCTGCAAAGTTTCATGAATTGTATTTAACTAGCATTCTATGTATTAATTTAATATTACACAGTTAGAATTAGCATATGGCAATTAAAACTCTGCAATAGTAATAACAACATCATTTAAATATGTATTATTAATTACAATACCAGTATTTTGCCAGTATTTTGCCATTTAGCATTCTTAATTTATTATATACATGTGTAGGAATTAATTTTAAGTAAGTTTTTTATGTACTTGATCTTTTTATGCAAGAGATCTTATTCTCTTAATCGTTTATTTCCATTAGTGCTTACAAAAATGAATGTTGTATAATTTATTGTGAAAATGAACCAAAAGATTGATCAAGTATAGACTAAACTATAAAGGGTTAATATAAGCCAGAGTGGTTTTGGCTATTTAAACCCGTGAGATTTACTTGCTCAGCATCCTCTGATGAAGTGAGCAATAGACTCACGAAACGCGTAAGGACGTTTTTCATCACTTTCTGGCACCTACCGTAAACTCAAACGGGCTACACTTGGAACGCAGGAGGATCGGTGACACGCACGCGGCTCTCAGCTAGTCCATTCATCTGCCGGCAGGACGATAATACAGAACCAGCTGCCTACACTATACTTTCCTGACTCCAGTTCAGCACGAATAGTTTTTACCAATTGTGAGTGCAATTTTTAATTATGTGTACAATAAATATATTTTAATACAGTAAGCACTATGGATCTTGAACTCTGCTTCTTTCAGAACGGAGCGATCTTCATTTAACTACAGGTCACTTACTATGATCTGTTAGTCACTATATTTTAACTTTCAAGACAAGTACATCATTATTTATCACATTGCTGGACCTGCAAGGACATTATAGTAATATTGTACCATATAAATCCAGCTAATCCAGTATACAAACCCCAGTTTGATCAGAACTGGAAATAACTGAAATAGCTTACAAAGTAATTGATTGTTGTGAATTTGTATTTGACTGATACAATTGTATCCATTCAGAGACTTTTATGTAGTGGACTTAAGCAAAATCTGAGTTAAAGGACCACTATAGTGCCAGGAAAACATATTCGTTTTCCTGGCACTATAGTGCCCTGAGGGTGCCCCCACCCTCAGGGACCCCCTCCCGCCCGGCTCTGGAAAGGGGAAAGGGTTAAAAACTTACCTTTTTCCAGCGCTGGGCGGGGAGCTCTCTCCTCCTTCTCTCCTCCTCCGTTCCTCCTCCTGGGCTGAATGCGCGGCAAGAGCTGCGCGCGCATTCAGCCCGTCGCATAGGAAAGCATTTACAATGCTTTCCTATGGACGCTTGCGTGCTCTCACTGTGAAAATCACAGTGAGGAGCATGCAAGCGCCTCTAGTGGCTGTCAATGAGACAGCCACTAGAGGAAACAGGGGGAAGGCTTAACCCATTCATAAACATAGCAGTTTCTCTGAATGTTTCTCTGAAACTGCTATGTTTATGAAAGAATGGGTTAACCCTAGCTGGACCTGGCACCCAGACCACTTCATTAAGCTGAAGTGGTCTGGGTCCCTAGAGTGGTCCTTTAAATGCAGTAATATGTTTTACCTATTGAATGCAAGCTATATGATGTATTTTTAGCATTGCAACAAACAAGAGTTAACATTTAAAGGTATATACCACTTCTGAATTTATATTAGATTTTTTTCAGTTTATAGGGAAAACTGTTGCCTGGATACAATTCTAAAACAATTTCCATTTGTCCTTTGCAGACTTTACATGCTGGAAAAAGACAGGTGCCAACTGCTGTGGCTTTCTGCAGTGTGCATACCGGCAAGGAGGGCAGGGTTGAGGAGAGGGTGGAAGATGATGTGGAGGATGATGAGGTCCTAGACCCCACATGGAATCAAGTTTGGAGGAAGAGGCGCTGGTCGCACAGAGGCACCAGCACAGCATAAGAGGGAGCAGGGTGCAAAAGCTGAGCAGCCGTCACCTAGCGCTCGTCGGCATGTATTAGCTTGAGAATTACCAGTTATCCAAGTAATACATGTAGCGATCAAGGGATCCATAATAGAGTCGAGCGAACCCGAACTGCAAAGTTCGGGTTCGTACCAGATTTAACGATCCATTCGTAGTTTCACAGTCAGGTGGGCAGTCCGGTGACCAGGACCCAGACACTGTCTGGGCGGCGGTCGGACGACCAGGAACAAGTATGCCTGATGTTGAAGTTAGTGTGGAATGGATTAGCAGGGTCGGGTGCAGGGTAACCGCATGCCCCTTGGTGTTGAGCACCAGCGTTTGTGCAGCCACATACCAGGACCCTGATGCAGCTTCAGTAAAAAGAGAACTGGATACCAGAAGCCATCACCAGACTGATCCGCAACTTGGAACAGGATGTGACATTCACTGTAGCGGCTGTGCACGCTGTCGTCGTTCTCACCCTGCTGCTGCTCGCCTGTCTGCGCTGCAGCGTAACTTCGGCCTTCCCACTCACCGCCTCATAAGACTGTGCGAGCAGCAGCAGGCAATAGTGGAGTTTCAGCTGCAGCACGCATGGGTCAGTGGCTCTGCACCAGACTTCCCTCCAATTAATCAGAGTTAAAGGATTTCAAGTGGACTCATTACAATTACAGGGCCTCTAAAGAGTCCTGTGTGACGAGACCAATCTCGCCACTGTGCATTGGAGGAGCCTGGTTGCCCACCTGTTGCCTTTAGACTATGGCCCCATGTTGAAACGCTTTATTTTCCCCTGCAAAGAAGCCAGGTCATTCGGTGCTTGCCCTGTTTGAGCGGTGATACCCCAGATAGCTATGCCATGGAGCCCATTCGTATAATGAAAGACTATGGGAAAGACTTTGGCTCCATGACAATTGAACTGTATGTGTGTGGTCTGAGTGCCATTCAGTAATAATGTGTGCTCAGCCATAAGCTATCTGGGGATATGTTGCATGTCTGTATTTTATGTAATAATGTAATCTTGTGTGTTTTGTTGTATTTTATTGTCTTTTTACTGCCATGTGCTTAATGGAGTTTTGTCTCTGTCTTTGGAGATAATTGGATTACTTCCCAATTATCTCCAGGATAGAAGACTCTGTGGAACTGGTGTTGGGCAGAAAAGCCATGCTTCCTTTCGTCACAATGGACTTCGATCTATCTTTTGAACCACTGGACCAATTTGGATGATTTTGACATATGTTTGTATTTGGAATATGCTGATTCTGAAATGTACATTTTATGTGAATGTGATGCATACTTTTAAAGTTATGAATAATGTGGAAAAACTATATTTCTCTGCCGGTGATAATTACATTACCCATTGTGTAAGGTAATTGTATCACAGGCAGAGGGGAGGATTTTGTGTGGGAGTGTCTGAGTGTGTTGTATGTGTTTATTGGTTGTTTTCCAAAACCCTGTGGGTGGTACTAATGTGTATATAAGAAAAATAAACCCACAGCTCTGGCTGTTCACTGCTTGACCCTCAAAACAGAGCCTTGTCTCGTTCTTGGGGTGATTTATTGTATGCTGTTCCAGTTCGACTGCTAGGAGTGTAAACCTATTCATATGGTTTTTCCTATTTGGCTGTTTACAGCATTCATATGGTTTCCTGTTCGCGGATTGGTGTTCTGCAGTAGCTGTGCCTGTTTCTCTGGAAGGGAAGATCCACTAAACGGCAGTTTAACCCTTTTGTGCCTGGGGGTGCCGTTACATCCTGTATTGTTATTTGTCGTCACTACCTTCCCGTGTCGGGAGTGGGTCATTTGTGCGCCTGCTTCCTTCCCTGCATGTGGTAGCCGTTTCTCAGGGTCCCTGTACGGAATGGAACCCTGATTCCCGTTACACGTGGTCACCATGGTAGGCGCAGAAACTGGCATCGAAAGTTCATATGGATGACATCCGAATGCAAAGTCGCCGTCACGGGGATGTGTGATTGGCCCGAGGTTCTCTAGAGTCAACAAAGTGCCTGCACAACTATAATGTAAACAGCTACTCTGCGGAACAGAGTTGTCTTTTTTATATGTCCCAATATTTTGGGGGCTACCCCAATTAAAAAATATTTATATATATATATATATATATATATATATATATATATATATATAAATAACAGTGTTGGCTACCTCATCCTCCTCCTCCACCGCTGCTTCCACGTACACCGCCACAGTCACCGCCTCCTCAATCTATGGGTCACTTAGTATAAACTATGTACACAATAACAGAGGCTTGTGAAGGCCTTTCCTCAATGCATCAGGAGTTGTTCATTTCTCCATGCATCAGGACTGTAAGAAATGCACCACAGGCCGCAACTGTTTCTTTTTTTGTATGTCCCAATATTTTGGGGGCTACCCCAATTAAAATAAAATAAAAATATATATATATAAACAGTGTTGGCTACCTCATCCTCCTCCTCCACCGCTGCTTCCACCTACACCGCCACAGTCACCGCCTCCACAACCTATGGGTCACTTAGTATAAACTAGGTACACAATAGCAGAGGCTTGTGAAGGTCTTTTCTCCATGCATCAGGAGTTGATCTCAGTTTGAACAATGAAAGAGAATACCCTGCACTCCAACCCTCTCTCAAATGGATAATTCTGGTGATCCTCCTGACAGCCATGCTTTAGATTTTAATTTATGTTCTTCCATTTTATGGCTCAGCTGTATTTTTTATTTTTATGTATTTTATGTTATTTTAAGTGATTTACCTATCCACATTTGTTTGCAGGGCACTTGTCCTACTCTTATCCCCATTTTACTTCCTTCTGCAGCTCTCTAGCCCTTTCCAGGAGTGTTTTAGAGGCATTTTTGTGCCCAAAAGTTCGGGTCCCCATTGACTTCAATGGGGTTCGGGGTCAAGTTCGGCCGAACCCGCCGGACCCGAACATCCAGGTATCTGCTCAACTTGAGTTATGTTGTATGCATGATGCTGGAGGTCTGTGCATAAAAAGCAGAGTGTGGCAGAATAAAGACTCGTACTCCCAGAACTGTTTGTCATCTAGTAAGTGGGGAGGAGTAGAGTGTTTCACATTCACAGTGCCTTGTTCCAGTTACTACGGATCCAGTGGAGAAAACTTCTTGTCAAGACTAGAGCTCCGCTACAACAATGTGGTGCTCTACGGGGCCATCTGGATATTTTTTATGGAATTTAGTAAATCAGGATCCGACCGGGCCATCATTTGGTCCTGGTTTCAGCCAAACCCATAGCCGCCGAAAGCCTGAAAAACTTATCAAAGCCATTAAATTCAGGGCTGGAGGCTTCAACTTAAAAAATTAAAAAACGATTTGCCCACTTTCATTGCAAAAAGCCAGCGGCAAACAGTTAAAAACCGACGGTGGTGCAAGTGATAATTATGTTGCAGCATAGGATAAAAATCCTTTGGGGGTCAATACAACCCTAAAATTGCTATAATAGAGGTAATGTACCACCTGCCATGCCTACTAAACTAATCACTAATCTTAAAATTTGATGTAGACTGGCCCTTACCCGCCGCACAGCATTTGTTTATGTAGACTCTCCCTTACCTGCCGCACAGCATTCGTTTATGTAGACTCGCCTTTACTTGCCGCACAGCATTCGTTTATGTAGACTTGCCCTTACCTGCCGCACAACATTTGTTTATGTAGACTCGCCCTTACCTGCCGCATAGCATTCGTTTATGTAGACTCGACTTACCTGCCACACAGCATTCGTTTATGTAGACTTGCCCTTACCTGCTGCACAACATTCGTTTATGTAGACTCACCCTTACCTGCCGCACAGCATTCGGTTATGTAGACTCGCCCTTACCTGCCGCACAGTATTCGGTTATGTAGACTCGCCCTTACCTGCCGCACAACATTCGTTTATGTAGACTTGCCCTAACCTGCCGCACAGCAGGTGAATCCTTTGACGCTTGGTTTAGGATCTGGATGTGAAATCACCAATATTAATATGGAGACTGAACGCATCCGGGCAATTGCTGCAACTTTGCTCAGGCTGACCGAATTCCACCCGTATGTATGAGAATTGTCATTGCAGTTGGAATTCAGTCATTTTCACCGGATTTTGTCCATCTGGTGTTTAGTGAATAACCCTGTGTTTAATGATTACCTTATACATTATTTTGTATTTTAAATATTATATCAATATTTTTATTATTATTATATTACATTAGTGTCATTATTATTATTAGGAGCAATTTCATTATATCATGACATTATTAGTAATATAATTGTAATAATCATTTTAACAATAATCACTTATATCATCTATAACTTGCGTTAAAGGAACACTGTAACGTTAGAAAAACACAAGTGTATTCCTAACGATATCATGTCCCTCTTGCTCCCCTCCCCCCTACCAACACACACCGAAACTGCAAGGGTTAAAACCCGATCTGCCTTGGTGCAGCTTTAATGCTCTGTTACCCAACATGGGAGGTCAATGCCATGCGTGAGTGCTGCAAGCGCAGTAGGCTCTCGTCATAGGAGAGCATTGCTTCAATACTTTCCTATAGAGATTTAACTGACACTGGATGCATGCAGAGCGTGAGGATGTCCAGGGTCAGTAAGGCAACAAAAAGTCACCTAGGAAGCAGGAAGTGCCTCTAGTCTGATTGACACTCGATAGAGGCAGTCTTAGTCCTGCAATGTAATGACTGCAGTTTGATATACATTGCAGGACTAAAGTGGACAGGATCATGAGCTGAAGTGGTCTGGGTTCGTATAGTGTCTCTTCAACCTTTTTCATGAGATGCTTACTTTTCTTTTAAATTTATATTGAAGATTTAGCAAATTACAACATAAACGCGTTCAACCAAGGCACAGCCAGGGCACACATTGCAAATGAAAAGGAGAAACATTGTTTAATTTCTCCTCCTCTCTCTATGCTGACTGCCAGGTGTAAAGGGCGGAGCTTATAACAATGATTGACAGGGAGCTAAGATGGAGGCGGCTCTCTCTATACTGACTGCCAGGTGTAAAGGGCGGAGCGTATAACAATGATTGACAGGGAGCCAAGATGGAGGCGGGTCTCTCTATACTGACTGCCAGGTGTAAAGGGCGGAGCTTATAACAATGATTGACAGGGAGCTAAGATGGAGGCGGCTCTCTCTATACTGACTGACAGGTGTAAAGGGCGGAGCTTATAACAATGATTGACAGGGAGCTAAGATGGAGGCGGCTCTCTCTATACTGACTGATAGGTGTAAAGGGCGGAGCTTATAACAATGACTGACAGGGAGCTAAGATGGAGGTGGCTCTCTCTATAATGACTGCCAGGTGTAAAGGGCGGAGCTTATAACAATGATTGACAGGGAGCTAAGATGCTCTCTATACTGGACTGCCAGGTGTAAAGGCGGAGCTTATAACAATGATTGACAATGATTGACTACGGAGCTAATGATGGAGCGGCTCTCTCTATACTGACTGCTGCAGTGTGGCATATAACAATGATTGACAGGGAGCTAAGATGAAGGTGGCTCTCTCTATACTGACTGCCAGGTGTAAAGGGCGGAGCTTATAACAATGATTGACAGGGAGCTAAGATGGAGGCGGCTCTCTCTATACTGACTGCCAGGTGTAATGGGCGGAGCTTATAACAATGATTGACAGGGAGCTAAGATGGAGGTGGCTCTCTCTATACTGACTGCCAGGTGTAAAGGGCGGAGCTTATAACAATGATTGACAGGGAGCTAAGATGGAGGCGGCTCTCTCTATACTGACTGCCAGGTGTAATGGGCGGAGCTTATAACAATGACTGACAGGGAGCTAAGATGGAGGCGCTCTCTCTATACTGACTGCCAGGTGTAAAGGGCGGAGCTTATAACAATGATTGACAGGGAGCTAAGATGGAGGCGGCTCTCTCTATACTGACTGTCAGGTGTAAAGGGCGGAGCTTATAACAATGATTGACAGGGAGCTAAGATGGAGGCGGCTCTCTCTATACTGACTGTCAGGTGTAAAGGGCGGAGCTTATAACAATGATTGACAGGGAGCTAAGATGGAGGCGGCTCTCTCTATACTGACTGCCAGGTGTAAAGGGCGGAGCTTATAACAATGACTGACAGGGAGCTAAGATGGAGGTGGCTCTCTCTATACTGACTGCCAGGTGTAAAGGGCGGAGCTTATAACAATGATTGACAGGGAGCTAAGATGGAGGCGGCTCTCTCTATACTGACTGCCAGGTGTAAAGGGCGGAGCTTATAACAATGACTGACAGGGAGCTAAGATGGAGGTGGTTCTCTATACTGACTGCCAGGTGTAAAGGGCGGAGCTTATAACAATGATTGACAGGGAGCTAAGATGGAGGCGGCTCTCTCTATACTGACTGCCAGGTGTAATGGGCAGAACTTATAACAATGATTGACAGGGAGCTAAGATGGAGGCGGCTCTCTCTATACTGACTGCCAGGTGTAATGGGTGGAGCTTATAACAATGATTGACAGGGAGCTAAGATGGAGGTGGCTCTCTCTATACTGACTGCTAGGTGTAAAGGGCGGAGCTTATAACAATGACTGACAGGGAGCTAAGATGGAGGTGGCTCTCTCTATACTGACTGCCAGGTGTAAAGGGCGGAGTTTATAACAATGATTGACAGGGAGCTAAGATGGAGGTGGCTCTCTCTATACTGACTGCCAGGTGTAAAGGGCGGAGCTTATAACAATGATTGACAGGGAGCTAAGATGGAGGCGGCTCTCTCTATACTCACTGCCAGGTGTAAAGGGCGGAGCTTATAACAATGATTGACAGGGAGCTAAGATGGAGGCGGCTCTCTCTATACTGACTGCCAGGTGTAAAGGGCGGAGTTTATAACAATGATTGACAGGAGCTAAGATGGAGGCGGCTCTCTCTATACTGACTGCCAGGTGTAAAGGGCGGAGCTTATAACAATGATTGACAGGGAGCTAAGATGGAGGTGGCTCTCTCTATACTGACTGCCAGGTATAAAGGGCGGAGCTTATAACAATGATTGACAGGGAGCTAAGATGGAGGTGGCTCTCTATACTGACTGCCAGGTGTAAAGGGCGGAGCTTATAACAATGATCGACAGGGAGCTAAGATGGAGGTGGCTCTCTCTATACTGGCTGCCAGGTGTAAAGGGCGGAGCTTATAACAATGACTGACAGGGAGCTAAGATGGAGGTGGCTCTCTCTATACTGACTGCCAGGTGTAAATGGCGGAGCTTAACAATGATTGACAGGGAGCTAAGATGGAGGTGGCTTTCTCTATACTGACTGCCAGGTGTAAAGGGCGGAGCTTATAACAATGATTGATTGACAGGGAGCTAAGATGGAGGCACCCAGTTACACGATAAAACGTGGTGAATTTAATTTTATTTTCACACCTAACGAATACATATCTGTTAAATATAGGGATAAGTAAACATAATGTAAAAAATGCTGGGCCTTTAATAAATGACGGTGTTTTTATAATCACAGATCAGAGCTTCGTACTTGTTGCAATGCCGGCAGCAATCTCCTGGTCACACAAGCTAACACTCACATTGGAGATAATATCACATACGAAACCCAAAGGGACAAACACATTGTGGTGAAAGAAAACATCTATAAAATGTTTCCTAAGGTAGGTGTAAAAATCTACCCCTTCTATATCCCTACTCTCCTCTTCCTGGGGGACCTATCCCATCAGACTGCCCTATCCCAACAGACTGCCCTACCCCACAGACTGCCCTACCCCATCAGACTGCCCTATCCCACAGACTGCCCTACCCCATCAGACTGCCCTACCCCATACCCCAACAGACTGCCCTATCCCAACAGACTGCCCTACCCCATCAGACTGCCCTACCCCATCAGACTGCCCTATCCCAACAGACTGCCCTACCCCATCAGACTGCCCTACCCCATCAGACTGCCCTATCCCAACAGACTGCCCTATCCCATCAGACTGCCCTACCCCATTAGACTGCCTAACCTCTCTCAACCCTCCTCTAATGTTCCTCTTAGTTAGATCAATATTCCACTGCTCTCCCGATAAAAGAAAATCATAAAACTGTATCCTCAGAATATAACAGGAGGTGCAATAAGTTCCTAAAAGGGGAACTTTAGAGTTAGCCCCCCTAACAAAAAATAAAACAAATTCTCAAAATAATGTACCTCGTCAAAAAGCTTTTTGTTCCTGGAGGGCACCTTATCAATAGCCGGACTGGTGTGACTACTAATTTGTGCCATTTCTTTTTACAGGTCTCGCCCTTCCCTGATAAGCTGTATAGACGCTGTGCCGTGGTGGGAAATGGGGGAATATTACTAGACAGTCGCTGCGGCTCGGAGATCGACCAGGCGGACTTTGTGTTCAGGTAGTTTTCAGTGTCACTAAATCATTAATAAACACATATAGCAGTCTGACAGTAATGTGTAATAATCAATATGACATGTTAAATAGGGATAAGCACGGGTGAAAATTTTGTTTTGTTTCATTCGTTTATTTTCTCATTTGGGTTCATCAGCAATTCTGTTAATTTTCAAACACTGTAATTGTGCCTGGATGGTGATTGCTAACTTTTTTCCCATCAAGCACAACCATTCATTTACCTTTCCTGACCTACCTCGGCCACTAGTTTGTCATCACTGCCAAGCCTTCGTAGTGGGGAGATTGTGAGTATGAAGGGGTTAATAACCAGTCTTTTATACCTCTATTCCCTAACAGAGCACAAAGTAACATTAATAAATCCCAAATCACTGCCACTAACTAAACCTTTTATTGGGCTTTTCGGTCTACCCTCATAATAGAGTTTTATAAACCCAAAAGTTTTGAACTGATAAGACACGGTACCCTCCTTAATTCTATCCTAAATGTAAACTTGTGCACCACCTCCATATTCTAAACATTATGTTATTTTATGCTGGGAATACAGGGAGAGACAAACTCCAATCTCTGGTTTTGTCAATGTGGCGGAACCAACCTCGCCACTGGCCTCTGGAGGAGCCTGGTTGCCCACCTCTTGCCGCTGGACTATGGCCCTGCATTAAAAACCTTTTATTTTCCCTATGTGAGCAGTGTTAACCCAGATAGCTAAGCCATGGAGCCCATTCGTATACCGAAAGACTATGGGAAAGACTTTGGCTCCATGGCGATTGAACTGTATGCATGTGATCTGAGCGCCATCCGGTAGTAATGGGCGCTGAGATCTAAGCTATCTGGGGATAGGTAGAATGTGTATGTTCTATGTGTTGAATGTAACAGTATGTAATTTTATGTAATCTATTGTCTTTTTACTGCCATGTGGTTAATGGAGTTTTGCCTCTGTCCTTGGAGATAATTGGATTACTTCCCAATTATCTCCAGGATAGAAGACTCTGTGGAACTGGTTTTAGGCAGAAAAACCATGCTTCACTTGGTCAAATAGGACTTTCCCTTAACTTGTTAACCCCTGAACCGATTGCCCTGATTTTTGAATATGTGTATATTTCAATCATGCGGATTCTGAATATGTAATTTTTATGAAGATTGGATGTATATTTTTAAAGTTATAGCACATGTATAAAAACTGTATTTTTCCTGCTTGTGATAATTGTAGATTATGCTAGCTTTAGTGTACCTATAATCTTAATTATATTAATGACAGGAGGCGAGTATTTGCTTAAGTCTCTCTTTACTAGAACTCCACAGCAGCACTGAAAAACAACCAATCAGAAAAAAGTTAGGTACTATAAAACTCCCCTCCCCATGCATCATTTCCTCTTTCAAGCTGCGACAAAAACAGAACAAAAGGCAGAAAACATAATGGGGAAGAAACAAAGTCCTAGATACGATGAATACAACGATGTCCACCATCCGAGAAGAACTGCCAAACCAGATAGTGTTGATGCACTGTAAACTGAAACAAGAGAAAAACAGAATCGAACAGGTTGATTATCCAATGAAATGTACTCTGAATAAACATGTAGGTACCCAATGTAGCAACCAAAAGTACCTGAATATGTAGATATTCCAACCCTACTTGTGAAAAAACAGACATAAGAACAGGCGACAGGTAGCAGAGACAACAAGCAGAGTTGCATACGTACCTGATTAATCCAAACTATTAAAATTAAACAAGGGAGGGATAAGAATGGGTGGGAAATACTCGCCTCCTGTCATTAATAAAATGAAGATTATAGGTACACTAAAGCTAGAATAATCTACAATTTTATAACATGACAGTAGGCTTTGTATTTGCTGTTTTAACGCTCAGTCAACAAATCCAATGCTGTTTGTTTCGCTGGTACCTATTCCGGGAGCTATCCGAGCAATCCTAAATGGACTTTCCAACTGCGATAAATGACAATAGACCGATCGGTGAAGATGCCAGTTGACGATGCATCCCAAATACGGAAAAAAACACCATCCGCTGATAAATCCATTGTACGTGGGGTTGCAACCTGTTTCCTACCAGCCAGTCCATGAGCTGCCAAGCTGACCTGTTAGCCATTTCCCTGTAGTTATAAAATGTCGAAGGTCATTTGCGGACTTAGGGCCGCGATAAGACACTGCCACCATGTCTCATCTGTGTAAGGTGGCTCCACCGATCATGCCCGGGTCACCCGGCGATGTGGCCTTGCAGGCAGATCTTCAATCTCAAGGAATGCACCTAAGTCCACCAATTCTGCAATAGAACCGAGTAGGATCTTTCGTTCCCTGATGGCCTACCTGGTGAGATGTCTCATCCGAGAATACATTTATTATGCAGGCAAGAGTGTGGCAAACTAGCTCTATCCCAAGTGATTCCAATATTCCAACTGGACTGTGTTATCCATGGCTGCGGTGGAGAAAGGACTCCAAAAAGGACGTCCAATCAAGGTCCCAAACTGAACTTAAGTCAAGTAAGCCCCACTGAACAGGGCCAGGGGCTAACCTTACGCAGGAATAACTACCGATATCTAGATGGATATCTGGAGGCAGTTAGAGGGTTAGTTGTTAAAGACAAGGAAACACCGTGTCCCCCTGTAGGCGTCTGAGTACCGGTCCCTGCCTGTGCGAAGTTCTCCTTGGAGATGTGCCGTTGCCGGGCTGGTGTAAACCGTGGATGCATGCCCGGGGTCTTCATAAGAAACCTTGCCCTTCAGGCATGAGGTTTAGGGCCTTTACCCTTCCCACCATACTCAGGTGGCCGTATACTCTTGGATAGTATGGCAACGGTGCTTGCCTGGACACCTGCCTATCTCCATGTCACTAGTGGGTACTGGGTTTTCCTCAGTGATATTCCCCCAGGCCTGCGGCCAAAAGGGGGTCGGCACCCATAGAGCAGGCCCGTCAGAAGGGCACAGGCCCAGCAGGCCAAACGAATGGGCACAGAATAGTTGGCCAATCAAATAGGCACAGACATAGCAGGCCAATCATTGGGGCACAGACATAGCAGGCCAGTCAATGGGGCACAGACATAGCAGGCCAGTTAATGGGGCACAGACATAGCAGGCCAATCAAAGGGGCACAGACATAGCAGGCCAATCAAAGGGGCACAGACAGAGCAGGCCCGTGATAGCGTTCCGACAGCCGTAGGGCCCATCTGCGTGTGTAGAGTCCACTATATATATATATATATATATATGTGCGTAATGAAACAGGAAAACCTTGGGTTAAATAATTTCAATATGTAAAACCCACTAGCAGGGTAGTAATGTGATTATAACAGTATTTTTACATAATACCTCTGGATTAAGTTGCTATAATGTCTCCAGTCTAATATCACAGATGTTACAGCCGCTAGTGATGAAGTGCTATACCACTATACAGGGAACTGGCAGACTTTAATGTTTGGCCAAAGGCAGAAAACCAAACTGCAGACATCTCAGAGCAGTACAGGGTGTACTGCCTAAAGCCTATTCTCCAGCCCAGCAAAATATTTATATAAAATTATATAAATGTGGAGTCATCTTGGGTTATAGATTAACCCTGAGCAGGGTGAAGGGCCCTCATCTGATATAAAAAACAAAACAAAACAAAAAACTCCGGCCATGATCGGAATCCGGCCTTGATAGGAACAGACAGGGGGAGGGGCTGCGAGCGGTCGCACCCTCCCCCACCCGGTCGGACACACGTCTCGAGCTCCCCTGCGACCGGAAAAAACACACACAGGACCGCCGAAAATGAACTCTGCGGTTCCGGAGCTCGGGGATCGAAAGAGGCAGATGCAGTCAGCCTCCTGAAGCCCCCGAGCGGCGCACACAGACACCGCCAGACAGAAGGACAAAGGCGGAACAAAAAAATATAACAACGAGCATACACAAAGTTGGGAGACAGACAGGGGGACAAGGCCAAGGGGATAGAGGGGACAGGGGGATAGAGAGGGGACAGGGGGATAGAGGGGACAGGAAGACCCCCCAGAAATCAAAACTAAATATGTATATAACAGTGATAGCCTGAACTTTCAAGTAAAAATAAAGTCCCACAGGGGTTTTAACAAAACTGCATGTGTAAGGAAAATTTACACATGGCCAAGGTAATACTGCATATAAAATGAATCCCACAAGGCCTTAATAAAAAATTCTGAAAAGATATTCAATATATAAGCATAAAAATCCCACAAGGGAAAATAAAATACTGAATATGAAGAAATAAATCCCACAAGGAACATAACAATATTGTATTATAAAAATAAAATCCCCAAGGATTATAACAACTGCATTATAAAAATAAAATCCCACATGGATTATAACAATACTGCATTATAAAAATAAAATCACACAAGGATTATAACAATACAGCATACAGGAATAAATTCATACAAGGATTATAACAATACTACATTTATAAGGTTAAAATACTGAATATAAGCAATAAAATCCCAAAGCCACCCACTAGAAGCAGGAGGCAGTTTCCTGTACTGACTGCGGAGCAGCAAAGAAAGAGGAAATGATGCATGGGGAGGGGAGTTTTATAGTACCTAACTTTATTCTGATTGGTTGTTTTTCTGTGCTGCTGTGGAGTTCTAGTAAAGAGAGACTTAAGCAAATACGAAGCCTCCTGTCATGTGTGACAGACCCATCTGTATGGACTAAAAGTACTGTTTTCGTCTGTTTTGCCGTTTGCATGAATTTCCCCGTTCGTATGCTTTGTTTAAGAGAATGTCTTTTTTTGTCGAACGGAACTACCGAACGGACGGCCACCCAGAAGAGAAGTGTGCTGCTGGTTAACCTATTGATCCCAATTAGAATGTTGCAGTTAACCACAGACACTTCTCAATTAAAACCGAATACAGGGTGGTCGTCGTTCGTATGTCGACCACGAGGCGGCGGCCATTTTAACTATGCGAAAGCCCAGCGGTGTTCGACGGTTATTCCCTGGAACTAAAAACTGACACTTTTTCAACCAAACACCGCTGAAGCCGTCGACCTCCCCTTCTCAATCGACAAAAGCATACGAATACCGGCCGTTCGGGAGATTTAATAACACGAATGGACTTAACCCAGATAGCCTTCCCATGGAGTCAATCGCATACCGAATGTGACAGACCCATCTGTATGGACTAAAAGTACTGTGTTCGTCTGTTTTGCCATTTGCATGAATTCCCCATTCGTATGCTTTGTTTAAGGGAATGTCTTTTTTTTGTCGAACGAAACTACCGAACAGACGGCCACCCAGAAGAGAAGTGTGCTGCTGGTTAACCTATTGATCCCAATTAGAACGTTGTGGTTAACCACAGACACTTCTCAATTAAAACCGAATACCGGGTGGTCGTCGTTCATATGTCGACCACGAGGCGGCGGCCATTTTAAACCATGCGAAAGACCAGCGGTGTTCGACGGTTATTTCATGGAACTGAAAACGGAAACTTTTTCAACCGAACACCGCTGAAGCCGTCGACCTCCCCTTCTCAATCGACAAAAGCATATGAATGCCGGCCGTTCGGGAGATTCAACAACACGAATGGACTTAACCCAGATAGCCTTCCCATGGAGTCAATCGCATACCAAAGAACTGTAATAAACTTTGACTCCATGGCGATTGAACTATGCGAATGGGATCTGAGCGCTATTCGCCAATAATATGCACTCAGATCTAGGCTATCTGGGGATGTGTTACACAAATACAATATGTTCGGCAATTAGAAAGTTACATATTTTAATGTGTTTTATAACTTTGAGTTAAAATGGCGATTTGCCTCTGCTCAGGGAGATAATTGAATTACTTATCAATTATCTCCCGAGCAGAGGGGAAGAAACTGTGATGCATGCTGGGAATATTAGGGGGATGTATGTCCAGAATGTCCCCATGTCCTTCTGTCATTTCAGTCTCCCATTTGGTCCCCTAGGGGAGTGTCCACCAAGTGGGAGACCTGCATAAATATGGGCAGGTAGCCCACAGTAAACTCAGTTTGTGTTTTACCCTCAAAGCGGAGCTTGGTCTCGTTATAGGGGGGATTTTATTACCGGCGACGAGAGACTGCTTACTGGAATTATTGGCCGCTTGGAAAATATTGGCGTTCAGCTAATATTGGCAGTTCGTGTATTTGGAGCTCGTGAAGGGAAAGAGCCGTACAGGTACCGTTCGGGAGTTTGGAGTGTTCCCTAGCTGGCGGTTCGCATGATTATACTGTATACGCTACCAGACCACATTATTGCGAATGGGGAGTGTAACAGACCGTTTTGCACACAAGGGGTAAAAACCGTTTAGGCGATTGGCCCCCCCCCTTTCCAGAGATACCGGCACAGCTACTGCAGAACACCAAACTCCCGAACTGGATACAAAATAGCACTCCAACTCCCGAACTGGAACCTCCCAAATAGCTGCTAGCAAACAAACAGGAAAAGCAGACAATCAGCTTACACTCCTGGCAATCAGTCTCTAACAGCATACAGTGAATCCCCCCAAGAACGAGACAAGGCTCCGTGTTGATGGTCAAGCAGTGGTCTGAGGTGCTGGCACACCCAGCCTGGTTTTTATTACAGTCTTGCAAATACAGGACCGCCCACAGGGAGGTATAAAACAACCAATCACATTCACATAAAATTACATATTCACAATCAATCCATTCAGGGGAACAACATATTAAAAAATGGCATGAATCAGACCAGGGGTTCAAAAGTTAGTAAAAAGTATCTTTTGTACCCTGGCTGGCAGCATGGCTATCTGGCTCAAACAGGTTTTACAGAGCCCTCTATCCTGGACAATGGGGAAAGTAATCCAGTTATCCAGGGATAGAGGCAGACTCCACTGAGCACATGGGGACACAAAGACAGTAAAACACTTTAAAATACATCAGGTAAGACACCTTACATTAAAACTATACATTTTTTCCCCAGATAGCTCAGGTCTGAGCGCACATTATTAAGTGAATGGCGCTCAGACCACACGAATACAGTTTAATCGCCATGGAGCCAAAGTCTTTACAGTCAGTTTAATACGAATGGGCTCCATGGGATATCACATTCAAACAAATCTACCGAACCCAAGGCAGAAAAGCATGAATGAAGCTTTTCTGCAGGTAAAAAAGATGTCTTTTAACAGGGGGCCATAGTCCAGAGGCAGCAGGCGAGCAACCAGGCTTCTCCAATGCAATGTGGCGAGATTGGTCTCGTCACATTGAGCATTCACTAAACGGCGGTTTGTACATTTGCTACTGGAGGTACCGTAACAACTGGTGGCAAGCGACGGGATGATCCTCAGCGCCCAAAGAGACCACTACAACCAGGACTAAATGGAATTACAATACCAGAACCTGAGAAGAGCTACCCTGAAAGATTTATTAGAGCAAAGAGGCGGACAAGCCAGTAACCTCAGGAAGAGGGATATTATTACACTATTGCTGGAAATGGATGGAGTACCAGCGGCAGAGGGAACCAATGGACCCAGCACAGCTGACAGAACCCCCGAGGAGGCAAGCTTTGACTGGGCGGTAAGAATCAGGCTGGCACATTATGGTCCCAACCCATCTGCAGAGATCATCGACCGGGTCATGGCCGCTGTGGAGGCCAACCTGCTGCGCCAAAGCGGTGCTGCAGCAGCCCCAATCACAGCAAACCTGGGAGAAAGAAAGAAGGTGCCGTTTACTGCGTTTAAAGCCTTCAATGAGACAGAAGGAGAGATTGATGGGTACCTTGCTGATTTTGAGCGGCAATGTGCCCTGCACAAGGTACCCCTGAAGACTGGGTTACTATATTGTCCGGCAAGTTATCCGGCTGGGCCAGCGAGGCTTTTCGGGCCATTCCTGATGAGGAGATCGGGGATTATGTGGCAGTCAGGGAAGCTTTACTCTCCCGGTATGCTGTTACACCCGAGGCATACAGGAGGAGGTTCCGAGACACTGTTAAAACATCTGGGGACTCGTACGTTGAATGGGCATGCAAAGTGCACCGCACAGCTGCCCACTGGATGGCGGGGTGCCAGGCTGTGTCCGGAGAAGAAGTGCTACAGATGTTTCTGTTGGAACATTGTTTTGACAAATTACCAGCAGGGGTCAGAGAGTGGGTAAGGGACCATAAACCCTCCACTCTACATGAAGCAGCTCGCCTGGCGGATGAGTATACAGATGCTCGCAAACTGGACAGTTTCATCAGTAAGGCTCCCACCAGAGTGGAGTACAGGCCAGCAGCACCAACAGCAGCTACAATCTATCAACCCCCAATGAATCGTCCATCAGCACCCCCTTCATCCGCCCAGTATCAACAGTCACCCCGGTTTAATTCACGGGAGTACGCACAACCCATTCGGTGCTACCTATGCAAGCAGCTAGGGCACAAGCGACCGGAGTGCCCGATGAACAGCACCAACAAGAACCAGTCCTGGAGGAGATCAGCCGGTGGCAATCCACGTCCTCCTCTCCCAGCCGCTCACTGTGTAGAGGGGGAGGAGTGCTGGGGCATCTTGCATGAGGCAGACCCCGTTCAGGCTGCCCACCGGGATAACAGACAGCACCACCGGCAATGTGTAAAAGTAAACGGGAAGGAGGTCAGTGGTCTATGGGATACCGGTGCAACAATGACTTTGCTCCAGAAACACCTGGTATCCGAAGCCCAACATACCGGGGACACGGTCGCAGTGCGAGTAGCCGGTGGTGCTGTGTTTCGTCTACCCGTTGCCCCGGTACATTTGGATTGGGGAGTGGGCGCTAGACATGTGAATGTGGGGGTCATGAAGGACTTACCAGCAGATGTCCTCCTTGGCAATGACTTGGCGCCCCTTGTTTCAGCCTTCGCTCCCATGGGTCCCGCTGAAGTGGATGCTGTCACGACCCGTGCCCAGACCCGTGCCGCCGAGACCGGCCCACCTGCTGCTGAGACCCAGGTAAGACTCTCTACCCCGACTTGTACCTTAGACCAGGCCCCTTTAGGCTGGGATACCCCAGAGATGTACTGGAAGGAAACTAGGGAAGACCCGATGCTGGCGAAGTACAGGGCCAGGGCCGATTCTGGGGGAGAAGGAGTAGATGGGGAGCACTATGAGTGGCTGTACAGGATCCCGAAACCGTCCCAGAAACCGAGTACCCCTCCGCAGAATCGACAGCTAGTGGTACCTGCAAAATACCGGCAGGAGATTCTGCAGATTGGGCATGATGTGCCGTTAGCAGGCCATCTAGGTTCCCGCCGCACAGCTCATAGAATCACACAAAACTTTTTCTGGCCCAATTTTAACCGAGATGTGTGGGTTTATTGTAGCACGTGTGACACCTGTCAACGGGTAGGTAAGCGGGGGGATCACCCAAAAGCTAGGCTTCAGTCGATGCCTATCATTGGAGAACCCTTTTCCCGCATAGCCGTTGACATTGTGGGTCCACTGGCCAGGGCTAGCCCATCAGGTAAGAAATACATTCTTACCGTGGTGGACTATGCCACACGTTATCCAGAGGCAGTAGCGCTGTCTAATATAGAGGCAGAGACGGTTGCTGATGCCCTGGTTAAAATTTTCACTAGGGTCGGGTTCCCTCAGGAGATTCTCTCCGATCAGGGAACTCAGTTCACCGCTGTGCTTACCCAGCAGCTGTGGAAGGTGTGCGGTATTAAACCTCTGCTTAGCTCACCTTATCACCCACAGACTAACGGTCTCTGCGAGCGATTTAATGGCACCCTCAAACAGATGTTGAGGACCTTTACTGACACTTGCAGAGACTGGGAGCGATTCCTGCCTCATCTGCTATTTGCATACAGAGAGGTGCCCCAGGAATCTACTGGGTTCTCCCCCTTTGAGTTACTCTATGGGAGAAGGGTCCGTGGACCCCTAGATCTCATTAGAGGACACTGGGAGGGGGAGACAGAGCAAGAAGGGACCCCCATAGTACCATATGTCCTGGAACTCCGGGACCGCATGGAGAAACTATCCCTGATGGTAAGGGAGAATCTCCAGGCGACCCAGGGGAGACAGAAGCGGTGGTACAATCGGGGTGCCCGACAGTGGGTCTTCCAGGTTGGGCAGAAGGTTCTGGTGCTCAAGCCTGTGAAGACGAACAAGATGCAAGCATCTTGGCAGGGCCCATATAAAGTGTTAGCTCAGGTATGTGATACTACCTACCTTATAGCCAGCTGTTCAGATGAAAGGATTCAGCGATCCTTCCATGTGAACATGCTGAAGGAGTATCAGGAACGACCAGAGGATGTTGCGGCAGTATGTGCCCCAGCTACTGACGACCCCGAGAATTTACCTTTACCTGACTTGTTAGAGAAGGATCCCCAGACAGACCTTACTAGTCTTGTACAGCTAGGAGACCGGCTAAACCTGGCAGAGAAGGTACAGGCAAGACAGCTTCTGTGGGAGAAGCAGGCGACGTTCCCCAAGAACCCTGGTACAACACCCTAGCTGTGCACAAGGTCGAGACACCTGGACGAACCCCCATACCGTATCCCTGAAGCAGTCCGAGAAGGAATGCGGAAGGAGATACAAGAGATGACCAGGCTGGGGGTTATCGAGCACTCAGACAGCCCTTGGGCCTCGCCTGTAGTCCTGGTGCCTAAGAAAGATGGGACCACCCGGTTCTGTGTGGACTACAGGCGGCTCAACGAGCGGACCACCACTGACGCCTACTCAATGCCCTGGGTAGACGAGTTATTAGACCGCATTGCCAGGGGGCGCTACCTGACCACCATTGACCTGTGTAAAGGTTATTGGCAGATCCCCCTGGCCGAGGATGCTATCCCTAAGTCGGCATTCGTCACCCCATTTGGCCTGTACCAGTTTAAGGTTATGCCATTTGGGATGAAGAATGCTCCGGCTACTTTCCAGCGTATGGTGGATAGGCTCCTCGATGGCTTCCAGGACTTTGCATGCGCATACCTGGATGACATTGCGGTCTACAGTGAGTCCTGGGAAGACCATTTAGTACACGTGGGGGGTGGTACTGGACAAGATTCGGGCCGCAGGCCTGACCTTGAAGCCAGACAAGTGCCATCTAGGTATGGCAGAAGTACAGTACTTGGGTCACAGAGTAGGATGTGGAAGCCAGAGACCGGAGCCGGCCAAGGTAGAGGCTGTAGCTTACTGGCCCACACCATTCACCAAGACCCAAGTGCTGGCCTTCCTGGGGACGGCAGGGAATTACCGACGTTTTGTTCCCGACTACAGTACGGATGCCTAGCCCTTGACTGACCTGACTAAGAAGAATTTACCTAAGCAGGTCCTGTGGTCTTCAGCTTGTGAAGCCGCGTTTCAAGCACTTAAACAGGCTCTTGTAAATGCCCCTGTCCTGGCTGCCCCAGTCCCTAACAAACGTTTCTTGTTCATACAGATGCTTCCATGTATGGACTGGGGAATGTGCTGAGCCAGGTCGGGGAAGATGGAGGAGAGCACCCTGTCGCATACCTAAGCAGAAAGTTACTACCCCGGGAAGTGAGTTATGCGGCAGTGGAGAAAGAGTGTTTAGCCCTGGTCTGGGCACTGAAGAAATTGAGCCCTTATTTGTACGGGCAGGAGTTTTCCCTTATAACGGATCACAATCCCCTTGTCTGGCTTAACCGGGTCTCAGGAGACAATGGCAGACTGCTGAGGTGGAGTTTGGCACTGCAGCCTTACAACTTCACCATCAGCTACCGACCCGGTTAGCAGAATGGGAATGCGGATGGGCTATCCCGGCAAACAGACGTCCCTACTCCTTCCCAGTCCGGTCATCCCCAAGTTGACCTGCCAAAGGGTCAAGCCGGGTCTGCCGGAGTGTTCCACAAGGGGGGAGCCGTGTGACAGACCCATCTGTATGGACTAAAAGTACTGTTTTCGTCTGTTTTGCCGTTTGCATGAATTTCCCCGTTCGTATGCTTTGTTTAAGGGAATGTCTTTTTTTGTCGAACAGAACTACCGAACGGACGGCCACCCAGAAGAGAAGTGTGCTGCTGGTTAACCTATTGATCCCAATTAGAACGTTGCGGTTAACCACAGACACTTCTCAATTAAACGAATACATGGTGGTCGTCGTTCGTATGTCGACCACGTGGCGGCGGCCATTTTAACTATGCGAAAGCCCAGCGGTGTTCGATGGTTATTCCCTGGAACTGAAAACTGACACTTTTTCAACCGAACACCGCTGAAGCCGTCGACCTCCCCTTCTCAATCGACAAAAGCATACGAATACCAGCCGTTCGGGAGATTTAATAACACGAATGGACTTAACCCAGATAGCCTTCCCATGGAGTCAATCGCATACCGAAGAACTGTAATAGACTTTGACTCCATGGCGATTGAACTATGCGAATGGGATCTGAGTGCTATTCACCAATAATATGCACTCAGATCCAGTCTATCTGGGGATGTGTTACACGAATGCAATATGTTCGGCAGTTATAAAGTTATATATTTTTATGTGTTTTGTGACTTGTATTTAAAATGGCGATTTGCCTCTGCTCAGGGAGATAATTGAATTACTTCCCAATTATCTCCCGAGCAGAGGGGAGGAAACTGTGATGCATGCTGGGAATATTAGGGGGATGTATGTCCAGAATGTCCCCATGTCCTTCTGTCATTTCAGTCTCCCATTTGGTCCCCTAGGGGAGTGTCCACCAAGTGGGAGACCTGCATAAATACGGGCAGGTAGCCCACAGTAAACTCAGTTCGTGTTTTACCCTCAAAGCGGAGCTTGGTCTCATTATAGGGGGGATTTTATTACCGGCGACGAGAGACTGCTTACTGGAATTATTGGCCGCTTGGAAGATATTGGCGTTCGGCTAATATTGGCAGTTCGTGTATTTGGAGCTCGTGAAGGGAAAGAGCCGTACAGGTACCGTTCGGGAGTTTGGAGTGTTCCCTAGCTGGCGGTTCGCATGATTATACTGCATACGCTACCAGACCACATTATTGCTAACGGGGAGCATTCACTAAACGGCGGTTTGTACATTTGCTACTGGAGGTACCGTAACATCATGTTATAAAATTATGTTAACCATTGTGTACCATAATTAGATCACAGGCAGAGGGAAGGATTTTGTGTATAATTGCTGGGAGTGTTTTCTGTAATGTACGTGTGTTATTGGTTGTTCTGTAAAACCCTGTGGGCAGTACTAAATTTGTGGATTGGGAATAAAAGAGGCTGTATGTGCCAGTACAGTCAGTTCTGCTTGACCTCAAAACGAAGTGTTGTCTCGTTATTGGGGGAATTGGATTGTATGCTGATTGCCAGGAGTGTAAGCTGATTGTATGCTTTTCCTGTTCGGCTGTTTCCAGTGATTCGTGTAGTTTGCAGTTCGGAAGATTGGTGATTGCAGTAGCTGTCTGTGCATCTGGAAAGGGGAATATCGCCTAAACAGGTTTTAACCTCTTGTGTGCAAAACGGTCCGTTACAGTCGAGTCTTATTTTAACAAACCTCATGTACTTCTTATCGTACGTTCGTTCCCAATCTCACAAAATCCTGCAAGGTCGTGTGAATTATAGCTCTGTCATTCGCATACCCAAACATCAATCGAGACTTGATGAAGGGTACAACAGGAATGTCTTATTATGGCCAGATGGTCCACTTTTATACACAGACCCCCAGCATTAGGTCTCCAGCCAAAACATAGGGAAAACCCGCTCAGGCGTCTGTGTCTGGGAGATAAGTGAGTGTACTTTGCTTAAACTAATTATCTTCCAGGCACTGAAGGTACAGAGAATAAAACAGAAAACACCCCAAAACATACATAATGTTAATAGGGACCCCCACAAGTCTTAGATCCCCGGATAGCTCAGACCTGAGTGCCCAAGGTCTCAAAATAGTGCTCAGACCCCGATAATACCAACCGCACCCGTGGCGTCTGCCCTAGTAAGTTCCATAAGAAAAGTAGTAGTGGTCGGTCAACTTCCCAAAAATTTGAGTTCCTACACAAAAATAAACTAATGGTTCCCCTGGCTCATAGGTAGCAATTGTTCACCTTATTCGTGCAAACCTTTTCACTGAACAGCGCTCTCCTGGCATTTCGGGAATAGAAGCAGGCGGCAGCACAAAGTTACAGAGGTTCACGAGTTAAAGTAAAGGTCTTTGAGTTCCAGACACTCAACGACCAAGTACCGCTGCCTGTGTTCTGGAGACAAAATGGCCAATGTTTCCAGTTATACGAATGGCGGCCATCCAGAAAGAGCACTTAAGTTTGTTGTTGTTTTGAAGTCTGTGTTCGGTAGATAGAAATACTGAAAATAAAAGAAAATAAAAAGGGTTCCTGGGCAGTTTGTCACACTTATTAACTCCATATTCTCTCCTCCTTGCAGGTTTAATCTGCCACCCATGAATTATTCAGGAGACGTTGGAACAAAGACAGATCTGGTCACAGCAAACCCGAGTATCCTGCATAACCGGTAACTAACACACTAAAATATTATATCAATGCATGAAGGAGAGGATGTCAATAGGTGTCTCATCAGCTCTGCTGAGCTACAGTTCCCATGATGCTTAGTTAGCCGGTGGCTAGTTGATGGCTGAATAGTGGTCGGTCACTAGCCCTGGAATAGAGACACCATGAATATTTATACATCACAGCATATAGGTCTAAAGAGTTATTTTCTTCTATTTCAGTTTCTCAAGACTGAATGAGCAGAGGAAGCCCTTTGTGGATCTTGTAAAGATGTACGAATCTGCCCTTATCGTGATGCCAGCTTTCTCCTTTACCAACAATGTAGACGTTTCCTTTAAAGTTTTTTATACTTTACAAGATTTTGAGTCACATCAGAAGGTGGCTTACTTCCACCCAGACTATTTGAAGAACCTTGCTCTCTACTGGAAAAATAGGGGTCTTAAGGCTCGTCGTTTGTCCTCTGGCCTCATGATTGTCAGCACAGCCTTGGAGCTCTGCGATGAGGTCACACTCTATGGTTTCTGGCCTTTTTCTAGAGGTACATCTGGAAAACCGATACCACATCACTATTATGATAACAAATTGCCAAAACCTGGCTTCCATTCCATGCCTGATGAGTTTTTCTTCTACAACCAGATGCATAGCAAAGGGATCCTGAGATTAAAGATTGGAACATGTTAATGAGATGGGACTGTGAGAATTCAATAAGATTAAAGGGACATTTTACATCACAAAGATAATTATCACATTGTTACAGCACTTCTAGAGTTTCTGTTTCTTTACCAAACATGGCTACAAAGAAACACAAATACAAAATATATATATGGCGGATCTGATTCACTGAATTCTCATGTAGAACCTGATAATTATCAAACATTAGATTCATCAGAACATACTCCTAGGATGCCAATGTGTCATATACCACTGACTCAACAAGGCTACCCACTACCTACCTAATGACTATTTTTGGCCAAAGGGATTGATGATAATCCATAACAAGAATCCTTAAAAGAAACAGACTATAATATTGCTTTCTGTAAAACAGAGCTAATGTTAAAAGCATGGATATTTAGTCTGTCTCTCTATATGTCCTGTATCTGGAGGAAAAACCTCTTTATTGTAGGAAAGTCTGTTACAAGATCCAAGAGGTATTAAGCTCCTACCTCGACCGCCTGATGTTGGAAACTCCTGCTCGCTGCTCTTGATAATGACACCGGTGAGGACAAGCTGTTACGAGGCTCTATGCAAAGTTCCCCATGCGTTTTGCAACACACTGTCATGTCATCAGGGATTATTTGGGATATTGTGTGTATGTTTTAAAATAGTACAAGTATGTATAATATACAGTGACCTGGGACATGGACGTATATAAAATTCTCCTGTATTGAAGATATCACGCTGATTAAACAGACATTACCGCTCACATACAGATATTGTTTGTGGATTTTAGTCTTTATTTATTTCATTTATAATATGTATGAAGCACAATTAACTATGTAGAAAAATAACAGTGGGCTAAAACCATTTCAACCCAGAAACAAGCAGAAATCATGGTATTACCGAGTTAGTAAGGTTCTAGTTGCAAGCTGTGTACGTTCCCAAAAAGTTTCAATATATTACAATCAATTAAAACAAATGATAATACAAAGAATGTAATTGGTAGACTTGTACAAGGCAACGAAAATTGGTTCGGCCAAATCAAATTAGTTTGTGTTTATGGTTCAGACGAATTTGATCCGTGCAATCATTCAAGGAAAACAATTCAGACTGACCAAAAGTGTACTGCAAAATATACATATTTATATTTGTTTCATTACAACTGAGAGGTACATTTTCTGCAATTTGTCTCATAGATCAAGTAAGTAGATGTAACCAATAGGGAACAAAGGAGGAGCAGTAAAGCTATTAAACCTATATTATATATAATCTGATATATAAACCAGCACTCTTGGGATTTGAGGATTTCTTTCAAAATATAGATGTGAAAAATTGACGTTTCAGATCTGCACGATAACTTTTATCAGGATAAGTTTAAGACACACAAATGCCAATTTATAAGGAAAGAAAATAGCCCCTTGCCATCCACCTGGACGCCCTCTCGCAATCATGGGAATGATAACTGTCAGCTGCAGAGCTCCAGGGTTACCAATCAGCTGTTGGCTATAATGTAAGCGTTGCCTGCAGAATAGTAATGTTTTAAAGGGTCATGGCACCTAGACTGCTTCTTTAAGATGAAGTAGTTTGAGTGTCGAAAGTATCCATTTTAGCGTCAAATAATTAGCTGTGAGCAGGAGCTCAATATGTCTACTTTACAAAATGTCTATTTACTAATTTGGGTATAAAACGTCAACAGGGTTTCTCACTAAGCTAAATCCAAATGTCAAATCCAAAACTAAAATAGCGGTCACTATAGACTAGCATTTTTTTGCCTGCATTTTACAATTTAGTGTTAATTATCTAAAATTGTTTTGAGAATAACTCCGAAGATCTCCTGATTCTGAGGGTGAAATGTTATTTGATATGATATTCTTCAATGCCTAGAATGCTATCGCTATCTTCAAAATAAGGAATCGTCCAACGCTCTAATTTACAAAATATAGTTCTTACTTAAGAGATTACATCACATTTTCAAACTAATATTAGATTAATGCATCCTAGAAACCAAAAAAAAGACCTTAATAATTGCATATAAACAGAAATCAGTTCCATATTTTAATTCACAGAGATTTAAAGCAAACAAGAAAAAAATATCTCAGTTATTTTAAATGAAGCCCAACTAACACTAAACGAGTAGCACATTCCATTCTATATAGCCCGGTTAACGCTAAACGAGTAGGACATTCCATTCTCTAGAGCCCGGTAAACGATAAATGAGTAGGACATTCCATTCTGTAGAGCCCAGTTAATGCTAAACGAGTAGGACATTCCATTCTATAGAACCCGACTAAGCTAAATGAGTAGGACATTTTCCATTCTATAAAGCCTGGCTAATACTATACTCTATAGAGCCCTGTTAATGCTAAACGAGTAGGACATTCCATTCTATAAAGTCCGACTAAGCTAAACGAGTGGGACATTCCATTCTATAGAGCCTGGCTAACACTAAATGAGTAAGACATTCCATTCGATAGAGTCCGATTTAAGCCAACTAAACAGGACATTGCATTTTATAGAGCATTAATAATTTTAATTATTATTATTATTATTACTGGTATTTATATAGCACCAGCATATTCCGTAGCACTTTACAATATTATCAAAGGAGGTTTAACAATAAATGAGACAATTACAAAAACTTACAGGAACAATAGGTTGAAGAGGGCCCTGCTCAAACGAGCTTACAGTCTGTAGGAGGTGGGGTGTAGAACACAACAGGACAGGAGGTAGCAATCAAACAAGGTGGAGTGAAGCAGAGCTGGAGGAGAGAGTAGAGTGCTGCCCTTTAGGAGAGAGCAAGAGACAGGTATGTGAGGTAGAGGTTACTCTGGGAGGCTGTAAGCTTTCCTAAAGAGATGGGTTTTAAGGCACTTCTTAAATGATTAAAGACTTCCATAGTAAGGGAGCCACGTGTGAGAAGTCCTGCAAGCCTGAGTTGACCGTATGGGTGCGAGCAGCGGACAGGAGAAGGTCATGGACAGAGCGCAGAGACCAAGAGGGGGCATACATGCGGATCAGTGAAGAAATATAGGAGGGGCTAGAATTGGTCAATGCTTTATAGGTGTTGATAAGTACCTTGAATTGACTCCTTGAATTGATACAGGAAGCCAATGTAAGGACTGACAGAGGGGAGAGGTGTGAGAAGAGGAAAATTAGTCTAGCTGCAGCATTCATTACAGACTTAGTGGGGCAATACGACTTCTGGGAAGACCAATTAGGAGAGAGTTACAATAATCCTTGCGAGAGATTACTAGAGCATGGACAAACTCCTTAGCATCTTGCATAAAAAAGGGGCAGATGCGGGCTATGTTTTTAAGGTGGAATCTACAGGATTTGGTAACAGACTAAATCAAGTAAAACGCTAAGACAGCGCGCATGCAAGGATGGACTGATGTGGACATATTGAGCTCCTGCTCACAGAGTCACAGCTAATTATTTGCCTTAAATGGGTTCTATACTATAGACACCCAGAAGTTGAAGGGAGAGTGAAGGAGGATCAGTATTAGGAGGAGGAAAGACAAGGAGTTCAGTTTAAGAGAGATTGAGTTTAAAAAAGTGTGAGGACATCCAATCAGAGATGGAAGAAAGGCAAGCAGTGACAGATTACAGAAAGGCAGGGGAGAGGTCCGGGGAGGAGAGGTATATCTGAGGGTCATCAGCGTACAGCTGGTATTGGAATCCAAATGAGGTAATAAGCTTGCCAAGAGAGGCAGTATAAAGAGAAAATAGAAGGGGGCCAAATACAGAGCCTTGGGGGACTCCAACAGAAACAGGACGAAGGGAAGAGGTATCAATAGAAAAGGAGACACTGAATAAGCATTGGGAGAGATAGGAGTAAAACCAAGAGAGGACAGTGTCCCAGAGACCGAGTGATTGAAGAGTTTTGAGAAGGAGAACATCGTCAACAGTGTTAAAGGCAGCAGAGAGGTCAAGAAGAAGTAGTGCCCTTTGGATTTAGCTGTGATTAGGTTATTAGTGACTTTAATAATGGCAGTCTCAGTAGAGTGGAGAGGGCGGAAGCCAGACTGAAGAGGGTCAAGGAGAGAGTTGGAATTGAGGAAACAAGTCAGACGGGTAAAGACCAGTCTTTCCAGAAGCTTTGAGGATAAGGGGAGCAGGGATATGGGACGATAGTTACAAGGCGAGGACTGGTCAAGAGATGTTTTTATTAAGTACTACAGTAGTATGTTTAAGGTCAGCAGGGACAACACCAGAAAAGAGAGAGCAGTTGAAGATGTGTGTTAAGGAAGGCACAAGACAAGAGGCGAGAGATCTGATAAGGTGAGACGGGACAGGCAAGTGGTGGGGCGAGAGGAAAGGAGAAACACAGCCATCCCTTGTTCAGTAGCCGGGGAGAAAGTCTGAAGGGTAGGAAAGGCATGATCCAGGTGTGGTTGAAAAATAGAGGGGCAAGGTGGTGAGAATTCTTTCCTTAGCTGTTCAATCTTGTCGGTAAAGTAGCATGCAAAGCCATCGACTGTAAGGTTAGAGAAAACTCTAAATTATATAAACTGATTGATTCTTATGTATATCTAGTTTTCTTTCTTCTGGAACCATAAGCTCGCCTTGAATCATGAACAAACATATTTTCTTTCTTCTTTGTGTCACTTAAAATATCACACAATCAGTCTTACTTCAATTGTCTGAACTGAAGCTTTATTCTCTTCTCCAACAGTCAGTTCTTACAAATTCATTAATGTCAAATGGCCAGCAGGTGGCGGTATTGGCTGTAAATGAATAAAAGCAAGACTATATACTGTATGTACCCCACCACGCAGATACAATACATTCTATATACTGTATGTACCCCACAACGCAGCAAATATAATACATTCTATATACTGTATGTGCCCCACCACACAGATACAATACATTCTATATACTGTATGTACCCCACCAGGCAGCATATACAGTACATTCTATATACTGTATGTACCTCACCACGCAGCAAATATAATACATTCTATATACTGTATGTACCCCACCACACAGATACAATACATTCTATATACTGTATGTACCCCACCGGGCAGCAGATACAATACATTCTATATACTGTATGTACCACCAGCTGATACAATACATTCTATATACTGTATGTACCCCACCACGCAGATACAATACATTCTATATACTGTATGTACCCCACCAGGCAGCATATACAGTACATTCTATATACTGTATGTACCTCACCACGCAGCAAATACAATACATTCTATATACTGTATGTACCCCACCACGCAGATATAATACATTCTATATACTGTATGTACCCCACCAGGCAGTAGATACAATACATTCTATATACTGTATGTACCCCACCACGCAGATACAATACATTCTATATACTGTATGTACCGCAGGGTTTCTTTGCTGTTTTAAACAGCAACCCTTCCTTTTTCAGTGTCTGAGTTTTCAACAGGGGTTAACGATCAGCTCCTTCAGTATCTTGCAAACATATTTTCTTTCTTCTTTGTGTCACTTAAAATATCACACAATCAGTCTTACTTCAATTGTCTGAACTGAAGCTTTATTCTCTTCTCCAACAGTCAGTTCTTACAAATTCATTAATGTCAAATGGCCAGCAGGTGGCGGTATTGGCTGTAAATGAATAAAAGCAAGACTATATACTGTATGTACCCCACCACGCAGATACAATACATTCTATATACTGTATGTACCCCACAACGCAGCAAATATAATACATTCTATATACTGTATGTGCCCCACCACACAGATACAATACATTCTATATACTGTATGTACCCCACCACACAGATACAATACATTCTATATACTGTATGTACCCCACCGGGCAGCAGATACAATACATTCTATATACTGTATGTACCACCAGCTGATACAATACATTCTATATACTGTATGTACCCCACCACGCAGATACAATACATTCTATATACTGTATGTACCCCACCAGGCAGCATATACAGTACATTCTATATACTGTATGTACCTCACCACGCAGCAAATACAATACATTCTATATACTGTATGTACCCCACCACGCAGATATAATACATTCTATATACTGTATGTACCCCACCAGGCAGTAGATACAATACATTCTATATACTGTATGTACCCCACCACGCAGATACAATACATTCTATATACTGTATGTACCGCAGGGTTTCTTTGCTGTTTTAAACAGCAACCCTTCCTTTTTCAGTGTCTGAGTTTTCAACAGGGGTTAACGATCAGCTCCTTCAGTATCTTGCCACGGTTACTCACCTGAGAATAGTAATTAACCCTGCTGCTAATCAGTGCAGCCTATTTAAAGGACCACTATAGTGCCAGGAAAACATACGTGTTTTCCTGGCACTATAGTGTCCTGAGGGTGCCCCCACCCTCAGGGTCCCCCTCCCGCCGGGCTCTGGGGAGAGGAAGGGGTTAAAATCTTACCTTTCTCCGGCGCCGGACGGGGAGCTCTCCTCCTTCATAGCGACGTCATCGGCTGAATGCGCATGCGCAGCAGGAGCCGCGCGCGCATTCAGCCAGTTCATAGGAAAGCATTTATAATGCTTTCCTATGGATGCTGGCGTCTTCTCACTGTGATTTTCACAGTGAGAAGTACGCAAGAGCCTCTAGTGGCTGTCAATGAGACAGCCACTAGTGGCTCTAGAGGCTGGATTAACCTATTTATAAACATAGCAGTTTCTCTGAAAGTGCTATGTTTATAAAAAAAATAAATAAAAAAAAGGGGACCTGGACCTGGCACCCAGACCACTTCATTAAGCTGAAGTGGTCTGGGTGCCTATAGTGGTCCTTTAAGCAGCTAATCCCAGTACCTCCTTGCCCTTGCGTGGTTTCTTTGTTATTTATTAAGGTGTTTTTGCATCTAGTTCTGTCTCTTTCTGGTTCCTGGTCCCTAACAGTACCCCACCATGCTGAGCCAATACATTCTATATACTGTGTGTACCCCACCACACAGCAGATTTTATATACTGTATGTACCCCACCAGGCAGCAGATACAATACATTCTATATACTGTATGTACTACACCACGCAGATACAATACATTCTATATAGTGATGCACCTATGTAGGAGGAACAGTCTCTATTCTGCTCTGTGTCAGTGTGTATCAGGGGCTCTGAGGACAGGTGTCAATCCATATCTGCCAAGTGACCCCATGTAGGGGGAACAGTCTCTATTCTGCTCTGTGTCAGTGTGTATCATGGTCTCTGAGGACAGGTGTCAATCCATATCTGCCAAGTGACCCTATGTAGGGGGAACAGTCTCTATTCTGCTCTGTGTCAGTGTGTATCATGGTCTCTGAGGACAGGTGTCAATCCATATCTGCCAAGTGACCCTATGTAGGAGGAACAGTCGCTATTCTGTTCTGTGTCAGTGTGTATCAGGGATCCTTAGGACAGGTGTCAATCCATATCTGCCAAGTGACCCTATGTAGGAGAACAGTCTCTATTCTGCTCTGTGTCAGTGTGTATCATGGTCTCTGAGGACAGGTGTCAATCCATATCCGCCAAGTGACCCTATGTAGGGGGAACAGTCTCTATTCTGCTCTGTGTCAGTGTGTATCATGGTCTCTGAGGACAGGTGTCAATCCATATCTGCCAAGTGACCCTATGTAGGGGGGAACAGTCTCTATTCTGCTCTGTGTCAGTGTGTATCATGGTCTCTGAGGACAGGTGTCAATCCATATCTGCCAAGTGACCCTATGTAGGGTAACAGTCCCTATTCTGATCTGTGTCAGTGTGTATCAGGGGCTCTGAGGACAGGTGTCAATCCATATCTGCCAAGTGACCCCATGTAGGAGGAACAGTCCCTATTCTGCTCTGTGTCAGTGTGTATCAGGGATCCCTAGGACAGGTGTCAATCCATATCTGCCAAGTGACCCTATGTAGGGGAAACAGTCTCTATTCTGCTCTGTGTCAGTGTGTATCATAGTCTCTGAGGACAGGTGTCAATCCATATCTGCCAAGTGACCCCATGTAGGGGAAACAGTCTCTATTCTGCTCTGTGTCAGTGTGTATCAGGGATCCTTAGGACAGGTGTCAATCCATATCTGCCAAGTGACCCTATGTAGGGGGAACAGTCTCTATTCTGCTCTGTGTCAGTGTGTATCAGGGATCCTCAGGACAGGTGTCAATCCATATCTGCCAAGTGACCCTATGTTGGGGTAACATTCCCTATTCTGCTCTGTGTCAGTGTGTATCAGGGGCTCTGAGGACAGGTGTCAATCCATATCTGCCAAGTGACCCTATGTAGGGGAACAGTCTCTATTCTGCTATGTGTCAGTGTGTATCATGATCTCTGAAGACAGGTGTCAATCCATATCTGCCAAGTGACCCTATGTAGGAGAACAGTCTCTATTCTGCTCTGTGTCGGTGTGTATCATGGTCTCTGAGGACAGGTGTCAATCCATATCTGCCAAGTGACCCTATGTAGGGGAAACAGTCTCTATTCTGCTCTGTGTCGGTGTGTATCATGGTCTCTGAGGACAGGTGTCAATCCATATCTGCCAAGTGACCCTATGTAGGGGGAACAGTCTCTCTTCTGCTCTGTGTCAGTGTGTATCATGATCTCTGAGGACAGGTGTCAATCCATATCTGCCAAGTGACCCTATGTAGGGGGAACAGTCTCTATTCTGCTCTGTGTCAGTGTGTATCATGGTCTCTGAGGACATGTGTCAATCCATACCTGCCAAGTGACCCTATGTAGGGGGAACAGTCTCTATTCTGCTCTTTGTCAGTGTGTATCAGGGATCCTTAGGATAGGTGTCAATCCATATCTGCCAAGTGACCCTATGTAGGGGTACCAGTCCCTATTCTGTTGAGTGTCCGTGTGCATCAGGGGCTCTGAGGACAGGTGTCAATCCATATGTCAAGGTGTCAATATGTCATATGTCAGGTGTCAATCCATATTCATTGTGATTTAGGAATGTTAGGTGATTTCTGCCCTTTTTGGATTAAAACCAGACTCTGCATCAACTGTGTAATTTTCCATCTGAGTTTTGCCATGGATCCCCCTCTGGCATGCCACAGTTCAGGTGTTAGTCTCCTTGAAACAACTTTTCCATCCCTATTGTGGCCAGAAAGAGTCCCTGTGAGTTTTAAAATTCGCCTGCCCATTGAAAATTTTGTGTTCGCGACATCACTAATTCTATATACTGTATGTACCCCACAACGCAGATACAATACATTCTATATACTGTATGTACTCCACCACACAGCAGATACAATACATTTTATATACAGTATGTACTCCACCACGCAGATACAATACATTCTATATACTGTATGTACCCCACCACACATCAGATACAATACATTCTATATACTGGCAGCAAATACAATTCATTTTATATGCTGTATGTACCCCACCACACAGCAGATACAATACATTCTATATACTGTATGTACCCCACCACGCAGCTAGACATTGATATTATAATAATAGTAATTAGACTTGGAAATATTTTGGTATGAACTGTCATTTGGCTGAATTTGGGCAGATAAGATGATCAGTCAAATTCCTGAACTCCGAGTCAAGATGTAGTCAAGTCAGCAGGATTAAATTAATGGAACACTACAGGCATCATAACCACTACAGTTTCCAGGAGTGCAGGTCTTAGCTCATTGACTGAGATCTTCAGCTGATCACGGTCAGTCAATGAGCTAACACCTAATTTGTGGGGCATAGTGCAGGAGAGCTAACAGCATTAGTAGTGGAATGAAAGCGGTAATGAGACCCCAGCTAAGAAGTCAAACTGTTCAGAAATATTTTGACAAATTACAATGGGGAACAACAGCAAGATGTAGTGGTTATGGTGCGTAAAGTGTTCCTTTAACAAAGTAACAGTGTGAAGGCAAACAAAACCTCTTCATTATAATCACATTAGTGAACTCTGAACTAACAGTGACTGTATTCTCTGAGCTGACAGAGTCACACCCAGAGTGTCACCTGTACGGCTCTGTCACAGCAGGTCTCTCCCCGACATGGCATACAAAAGATGCAGATTTATGAATCTTATTATTATTTCTATATTATTTGTAGCATTTTACAGCTTCTACAGGATTATTAGTGATCGAGTCTGTTACTGCCCAAGGTAAGTACATTTTTATATGAATTTTATGTAACAATTGTGTTACATTTTAACTATAGGGAATTTACACGCCTCCTTCCTGAAGAATTTGTTAAATTTTTACATTTAACATAAAAAACCAAACGCTCAGTATTTTTGAATCTGCATTGAAGTTCGTCTTTAGTTGTATATATGTAAGGTTTTTTTAATTAGCAATAATTGCAACCTACTTTTATAACTTGTTATAAATTATCCAGAATTCTTGTAATTCACTCTGCAGACGGTTCTCAATCAGGAAAAGTGCCGATTCCAGAATGCTACCGATTTAACCGCTTGCTTGCCGAGTTATTTTTATTTAAGAAATAACATTTATTTGCAGACAGGATGCAGGAAAATATAGAGAGAATGATCCACTTTGGATAATAGAAGAATATCTGATATCTAACAAAAGGATGTTAGAAAGAATTGCCGTCGTTTACAGGAAAAGGAAATATTTAGTTACATGAGGGTAAAATCTATTCTTATAAAATCCTTAATGAAACAATGAGAATATAAAAGAAAACTGAAGGAGCGATTTACAAAATTGAGAATTTTTTTAAAACGAATTTCTAAATGCTTCCACTTGTCAGAGACATGATAGAACCTCGAGTGGAATCTAAACGATTCCCTCTAACATGTAAACTCACTGAGCAGGCCCTCAATCCCTCTGTTACTGTGTCACTATACCCCACTCCCTCTAACATGTAAACTCACTGAGCAGGGACCTCAATCCCTCTGTTACTGTGTCACTATACCCACTCCCTCTAACATGTAAACTCACTGAGCAGGCCCTCAATCCCTCTGTTACTGTGTCACTATACCCCACTCCCTCTAACATGTAAACTCACTGAGCAGGCCCTCAATCCCTCTGTTACTGTGTCACTATACCCCACTCCCTCTAACATGTAAACTCACTGAGCAGGGCCCTCAATCCCTCTGTTACTGTGTCACTATACCCCACTCCCTCTAACATGTAAACTCACTGAGCAGGCCCTCAATCCCTCTGTTACTGTGTCACTATACCCCACTCCCTCTAACATGTAAACTCACTGAGCAGGCCCTCAATCCCTCTGTTACTGTGTCACTATACCCCACTCCCTCTAACATGTAAACTCACTGAGCAGGCCCTCAATCCCTCTGTTACTGTGTCACTATACCCCACTCCCTCTAACATGTAAACTCACTGAGCAGGCCCTCAATCCCTCTGTTACTGTGTCACTATACCCCACTCCCTCTAACATGCAAACTCACTGAGCAGGGCCCTCAATCCCTCTGTTACTGTCACTATACCCACTCCCCTAACGTGTAAACTCACTGAGCAGGGCCCTCAATCCCTCTGTTACTGTGTCACTATACCCCACTCCCTCTAACATGTAAACTCACTGAGCAGGGCCCTCAATCCCTCTGTTACTGTGTCACTATACCCCACTCCCTCTAACATGTAAACTCACTGAGCAGGGCCCTCAATCCCTCTGTTACTGTGTCACTATACCCCACTCCCTCTAACATGTAAACTCACTGAGCAGGGCCCTCAATCCCTCTGTTACTGTGTCACTATACCCCACTCCCTCTAACATGTAAACTCACTGAGCAGGGCCCCCTAACCCTCCATTACTGTGTCACTATACCCCACCTCTAACATGTAAACTCACTGAGCAGGCCCTCAATCCCTCTGTTACTGTCACTATACCCCACTCCCTCTTAACATGTAAACTCACTGAGCAGGGCCTCAATCCCTCTGTTACTGTGTCACTATACCCCACTCCCTCTAACATGTAACCTCACTGAGCAGGCCCTCAATCCCTCTGTTACTGTCACTATACCCCACTCCCTCTAACATGTAAACTCACTGAGTAGGGCCCTCAATCCCTCTGTTACCGTGTCAGTATACCCCACTCCCTCTAACATGTAAACTCATTGAGCAGGGCCCTCAACCCCTCTGTTCCTGTGTTACTGTGTCACTATACCCCACTCCCTCTAACATGTAAACTCACTGAGCAGGGCCCTCAATCCCTCTGTTACTGTGTCACTATACCCAGCTCCCTCTAACATGTAAACTCACTGAGCAGGCCCCCTCAACTTCTGTTACCAATACTATACCCCACCCTCTAACGTGAAACCTCACTGGAGTAGGACCCCAACCTCTGTTACTGTGTCACTACATACCCCACTCCCTCCAACGTAAACTCACTCGAGCAGGGACCCCAATCCCTCCTGTTACTGTGTCACCATACCCCACTCCCCCAAACTCACTGAGCAGGGCCCTCAATCCCCTCTGTTACTGTCACTATACCCCACCCCCAACGTAAACCTCACTCGAGCAGGCCCCTCAATCCCTCTGTTACTGTGTCACTATAACCCACTCCCTCTAACATGTAAACTCCACTGAGCAGGCCCTCAATCCCTCTGTTACTGTGTCACTATAACCCACTCCCTCTAACATGTAAACTCACTGAGCCGGGCCCTCAATCCCTCTGTTACTGTGTCACTATACCCCACTCCCTCTAACATGTAAACTCACTGAGCAGGGCCCTCAATCCCTCTGTTACTGTGTCACTATACCCACCCCCTCTAACATGTAAACTCACTGAGCAGGGCCCTCAATCCCTCTGTTACTGTGTCACTATACCCCACTCCCTCTAACATGTAAACTCACTGAGCAGGGCCCTCAATCCCTCTGTTACTGTGTCACTATACCCCACTCCCTCTAACATGTAAACTCACTGAGCAGGCCCTCAATCCCTCTGTTACTGTCACTATACCCCACTCTCTCTAGCATGTAAACTCACTGAGCAGGCCCACAATCCCTCTGTTACTGTGTCACTATACCCCACTCCCTCTAGCATGTAAGCTCATTGAGCAGGGCACTCAATCCCTCTGTTCTAGTGCGTCCATTTGTTTGGTTACAATTATGTGTGTTAGTCCACCCATCATACAGCGCTACGGAATTTTGCTGGCGCTATAGAAATAATAATTGTAGCGCAATAATTGTTGGAATTGTTGAAATGGTGTCCCCTATGTTACCTGCTCTGCACTTTGACCCCTGGCAAACTACGAGGATCCAGATCTGATGACTTGCTTTTATTGCTGTTTATGTTTACAGATCTCCCGTTCGGCCCAGACCGCTGTGGCAGCTGCTCCTGCTTCTCAAGCCGAGGCACGCATTAAGAAATTTGCCATCTACAGATGGGATCCAGACAAGCCTGGCGATAAGCCACGCATGCAGACTTATGAAATCGATTTAAATAAGTGAGTGAAAGAGGGCGTATTACTTCCGTTACAAGTATATTATTTTCTAAACATTGAATACTAGGCCATACAATGTGCACATGTTAAAGGATCAGCGACTGAAATATTGAATCTATTTTACTAGGCTTCCAAAACATGATGTCTATTCCTATTCTGTATAGTACATTTTGCAAGATTTGCAAATATTTAATTCATTTCTCCTAGACCTATCTGCAAGCCTTGTGATATCTTGCCAGCTCTGATCTTTCATCTGTGAAGAACGGTCAAAAGTTACATTCATTTAAAAAAATAAAAATTAATTCAAGTGTTGGCCGGTGTATCAGTGTTATAACATGGATCATGACCTCTCTGTGTCAGTTAGAAATGCCACATATTATGTCTCTTATGTATCTTTATGTTGTCTTAACACTTATGGTTTGCTAAGCATAAATAATATATATATATATATATATATATATATATTTTTTTTTTTTTTAATTTTATTTTTATTAAAAAAATATTGTCCAACCTGTGTGTGTTTATTCCTACCTTCCCCTGGTGTCTTGTGTTTTCAGGTGTGGTGCCATGGTGCTGGACGCTTTAATTAAGATTAAGAATGAGATGGATCCAACGCTGACGTTCCGCAGATCGTGCAGAGAAGGTAAAGCTTTGATAATGAGCATATCCAGACTCTGAATGATATCACACCACTTTTCTAAATGGGACCTCTGTTACAGGTATCTGTGGTTCCTGTGCGATGAATATTAATGGTGGAAACACCTTGGCATGCACCTTAAAAATAGATGTCAATCTCAATAAAGTCTCCAAAATCTACCCCCTGCCTCACATGTATGTCGTGAAGGATCTAGTTCCGGTAAGGCGAATAGGATCTGTGTACTTTGTGCACGTATCCTGTGGGTTAAACCTGTTATACATGACGTTAGGAGGCAAGCTGTTTATGATTAATTCTAGAAGAGGAGCTAGTTAGGGGATTAAATCAGCTGTGGATGATGTGAGTTTTGGTCAATGGGAGGGTATAGATTAGTTCTTGGGGTGGTATAGATCAGTAATTTCTCACATTAAAACGACGATGAGATCTTGGCTTACGATAAACTGCGGCATCTAATGCATTGCTTTATGGTTTGTTTTGTTTTTTATCCTGTTTGTAAGGATTTGAGTAACTTCTATGCTCAGTACAAATCCATTGAGCCCTATCTGAAGAAAAAAGACGAGTCGATGCAGGGCAAGGAGCAATATCTGCAATCTATAGAGGACAGAGACAAGCTGGTAAGCTCAATATCTGCACGTTCTACAAGTTAGTTTGTGACAAATTCCACTCTCCTGAAGGACCACTGCCACATCTATTTTGTGTAAAAAAAAAAAAAAAAAAAAAAAGCTACAGCTCTAAATCTCATCATCAAAACCATCAGGGAGCAGAGAACGAAGACTTGTGTTAATTCTGTCCAAGTTGACGTGTGCTGTCTGCAAGCCACGTGCACAGCTTAGGCTCTCACTTCTGCTGAGACTTGCACATGGTCTTAATTCACTAAGCATTGACCTGGCCTATGTGTAAACTGATGGCACACAGACAGCATGACTGCTATCAGAAACCAAGCACTTCCACTCATTCGAAGTGACGAGATGAGTCAACTTATACCATAATAATTTGCAGTGTGGAGGCTTATGGTATTAGTCTCTTTCTGACCCACTAAGCAGTGCATCGAAGGAAATTGATGGTGAGTAACTTTTCTGGAGTTTATTTTTGCTTTTTATTCTAATAGTGGTTCATACTTACCCTGTAGTTTTTGTTTAATGTCTGTCTGCAGATTTGTTACCATAAGTATGACTGGGGATCTTTATTTTACAGGATGGGCTATATGAATGCATATTGTGTGCCTGTTGCAGTACCAGCTGTCCCAGCTATTGGTGGAATGCAGACAAATACCTTGGGCCTGCTGTTCTCATGCAGGTAGGTGCTGTGCATGGGATTTGGTGTTTTAATCGGTGGTAGAAGCTTCCCATTTGATATCTTAATTAGGAGGAATCATATAGCTGAAGCAGAGTTTTGCAAATCACAGCAGCTATAATTAACCTATTTGAAGGGAGCCAGCCCTTTAACGCTTCTTGCATCGTAATGTATTCAAGGACCATAGGCGTCCTCAGCTCATTTTATTAGGGGGTGCACCGGGAAAGTCTTTCTTTGTTATTTTGTAATGTGAAATTACCAAAGAAAAATAAATAAAGCCAAAAAGATATGTAGGATACATTTTAAGAAGGGTATACATAGTTTTATTTATGTCCTGAGAAGTGCACACCATAGAAAGTCTACGTTAATATTAAAGGGACACTATAGTCACCAGAACTACAGCTTATTGAAATTGTTCTGGTGAGTAGAATCATTACCTTCAGGCTTTTTGCTGTAAACACTGTCTTTTCAGAGAAAATGCAGTGTTTACATTACAGCCTAGTGATAACTTCACTGGCCACTCCTTAGATGACTGTTAGAGATCCTTCCTGGGTCATGGCTGCCTAAAATGCATCCAAACATTCAGTATCTCCTCCCTCTGCATGCAGACACTGAACTTTCCTCATAGAGATTCATTGATTCAATTCATCTCTATGAGGAGATGCTGATTGGCCAGGGCTGTGTTTGAATCATGCTGGCTCTTCCCCTGATCTGCCTTTTTGTCAGTCTCAGCCAATCCTATGGGGAAGCATTGTGATTGGATCAGGCTACCACTTCTGATAATGCCAGCAGACTGCTTGTTTTTCTGATTCAAACAGCATGCAGAGTTACAGCTTCAGGCTTGAATACAGTAAGATTTTGCTATATTTATAGAGGCAGGGGGGCTAGATGGTGGTTTTAAAACTAAAGGTTAAGAATACATGTTTGTGTTCTTGACCCTATAGTGATCCTTTAAAAATAAAAACATTTTATTAGAAATGTGTTTTAAAATGAAAGAGAAACACTACAATTACTGAAAGAAAAACCACCTTAAAAAAACAGAACATATCTATGTTAAAGCAAGACTGGTAAATATGCTTAAATGGGTGCTCTTATTATTAAAAGATAATGATTTATTATAATTGAGCAGTGGCACAAATAATTGTGCTAAGAGTCCAGATTAATGCTACTGAGCAATGTGCTTTAAGGACCACTATAGGCACCCAGACCACTTCAGCTTAATGAAGTGGTCTGGGTGCCAGGTCCAGCTAGGGTTAACCCTTTTTTTATAAACATAGCTGTTTCAGAGAAACTACTATGTTTATAATATGGTAATCCAGCCTCTAGAGCCTCTAGTGGCTGTCTTATTGATAGCCGCTAGAGGCGCTTGCGTGCTTCTCACTGTGAAAATCACAGTGAGAAGACGCCAGCGTCCATAGGAAAGCATTGTAAATGCTTTCCTATGAACTGGCTGCGCGCGCAGCGCCTGCTGCGCATTCAGCCGATGTCGCTATGGAGAAGAGGAGGTGGAAAACTCCCCGCCCGGAGCTGGAGAAAGGTAAGATTTTAACCCCTTCCTCTCCCCAGAGCACGGCGGGAGGGGGTCCCTGAGGGTGGGAAAAATGAAAAATGAGTGTTTTCCTGGCACTATAGTGGTCCTTTAAACATTTCTGAATAATGCAATCCCTGGCTTTAAGTGATGTTGCCCCCTTTATGAGTTATAAAGCAGCAAAGCGAAATATGTTGTATGATAAATCATTATCTTTTATTAAGCCAAGAGGACCCATTTAAGTATATATACCCCAATCTTGATTTTACAGAGATATATTAATTTACATGTGTTTTTTTTCTTTTTTTCATTCATTGTGATTTTTTTATTTTAAACACCTTTCTAACAATGTATTTTTAATATTAATGTATGAGGAGTTATCGTAGACTTTCTATGGTGTGCACTTTTTAGGACATATGAACTATCTATACCCTTCTAAAAATTTATTTATGTAATGTGAATATTCAGCTATTGTTCCAGTTTGGCTTTAAATTTGACATTTACATTGAATCCACTTCCAGTCCTTACTTTAGTAACTAACTCTGTTTACTGTTGCATTGTAGAGTGGGGTCCTTGCCCTTTGTGTTATCACGTGGTTCCCCTCAATGTGCATTTCTCACAATATTCGCTTTTCGTGTCCATTCGCCAGCACTTTTACTTCCTTCATTGTGGTTTTCAGGCCTACCGCTGGATGATTGACACAAGGGACGACTTCACAGAGGAACGGTTAGCCCAGCTCCAGGATCCTTTCTCTCTATATCGTTGCCACACCATCATGAACTGCACACGAACATGTCCCAAGGTAACCTCCCCTTATTTGTTACAGATTACAAATTATTTACATGTTTATTTATTTTTCCTGGGGCAACTTTCTGTTAATCCGTTGGAATACAGATATTTATTTACTTTGATTGAAAAACTTTTTCTCTCTCCCCCCTGTTGATACCCCACAATTCTTGTTTTAGTGAATAAACCTTAAGTGACTGGGCAGAAGGGAAATGATAGTGGACAAGGCTACAATAAAGGGACATGGGGAATGTCAAAATTGATGGAAGAAATAATTTCTAGGGTTTCATACCCTCAGCTTGTGGTGTCCTGATAACCCTTCAGTGCAGAGGCCTTGTCTCTCCTACCCCAGCACAGAGAGTAGTCTTACAAGCCCTTGTTGAATCAGATTGCTTTCACACATAAAACCCAGACAATCGGATACTTGTGATGTATACAAACCAGGAAGTGAGAGGTGTTTCCATGAACGGCTCGTTGCTAGCACTGCTATGGGCAAATCCAAAGCAACGTATATCTGATTAAAGGGGCCGGAAACTTCAATGGCCTTCGTGGGCAGTTAATATTTACTCTGGTGTAGTTTAGACCTTTTGACACACACAACATAGTATACATGTCTGCATAGAAACTGGTTACTGTTCCTGGTGCTGTTTCCATTGTGTAGGAATGTATACTTTCAGTATCTGTGAATTAATGCAAACTATACTTCACCTCCTTAATTATACCGAAGATGGCTCCTTCAAATACATACTTTCATTTCCCCCACGACAAGTTATAGCCATTTAAATAATAAATAAAAAAGTGATCCAAATGACTGCTATGCTATAGTTTGGGTCCTACTGGTTTAAATCCATGTGCTTTTGTTATTTTCTTTGGGGTGGGAGGGTCTCTAAGGATGATTTTGGCTCTTATAAACAGTAATATTGTTTATTACCCAATTATTGCATATTATGATATGGGTGTGTGCACTAATGTAGATTTTATTTATTTATTATTGCCACATATTACTAAGGATTGCTAAACAATCTTAAAATGGATGAAAAGGAAATTTGAATTACCAAACATAAAATCTTAAATTTTCAGATTTTAAAACCTGTTTTTTTTTTTTAATAGTGCATTGCCATTCTCTCTCCCCTCTCTCTCTCTCCCTCTCTCTCTCTCTCCCCCCCCTCTCTCTCTCTCTCTCTCCCCCCTCTCTCCCCCTCTCTCTCCCCCCCCCCCCTCTTCTCCCCTTCTCTCCCCTCTCTCTCTCCCCCCCTCTCTCTCTCTCTCCCCCTTCTCCCCTTCTCTCCCTTCTCTCTCCCTCTCTCCCTCTCTCTCCCTCTCTCCCCCCTCTCTCTCTCCCTCTCTTCTCCCTCTCTCTCTCTCTCTCTCTCTCTCTCTCCCTCTCTCTCCTCTCTCTCCCTCTCTCTCTCCCCTCTCCCTCTCTTTCCCCTCTCTCTCTTCTCCCTCTCTCTCTTCTCTCCTCTCTTCTCCCTCTTCTCTTCCCTTCTCTCTCTCTCCCCTTCTCTCTCTCCCCTTCTCTCTCTCCCCTTCTCTCTCTCCCCTTCTCTCTCCCCCCTTCTCACTCAATCGAGAACAACAAATAAAGCAATAATGTATGCATTGCATACAACAATATTTAATATTAATGATTTCAATAATCATTTGATAAACATTTTATTTTTATAGAATTGAATTTTGTTTATTTTGGTTCCCGCATCACAAGAGTTAAATCACAACTGTGTAAAAATGTCACAATAACATCCTAGACAAATATATGCTAAATACTTGCAATGTGAGAGAATTTGTAGATAAAAGCACAAGGAATGAGATTTGAGGCCTAGAAAGAAAGTAATTTTTGAAAATAATTCTATCCAAAAAGAATTCACAGATCAATGGGTCCCAGGTGAGGGCAGACTAGGGATTGTTGTAGGAATGTCCTCCAAGATGGCATGGTAGCACACCAAAGTGGTATGCTTGTCTATATTATAAACTGCCAAAAGAGGGGAGACCGAATGCCACTCCTGTGTAAAGCATGTATCTTGTAACCAGGAAAGACAAAGGGCAACAATGTAGCTGTCAATGGAAACAAAGTACAGGGGGAAATATCACAATGTATCCCATACTTTAACTAACGTGTGTGTGTTCCAGTGGTCAATAACCCAAATCTTCCCAGTTATTCCTGATTTCAGTTATCAGCTATTCAATGTGCATAAATTATACTCTACTGTAAATAACTTTTATTTATATATTTGTGTCTTTTATTTGATTTTAAGAATTTATGCAGTAAAGGAGTTTAGAGAACCTGAAGAATGATTTTTGTGTTTTTCGCTACTTGATTTCAGGAAATTTACCTTGTGCTAACCTCAAGTCTGCATTATTTTTCTCCACTCTAATTCCAGGGTTTGAATCCTGGCAAAGCCATTGCCGAAATTAAGAAGATGATGGCAACATACAAAGAGAAAGTGGCCACTGCATAGTGTTGAGGAATTCCCTTGGAAATGTGGCTTCTTCAAGCTACGGTCCTGGTATCACAGCAGCACTTACCTGCACCTTCTACTTACTCTAAATGCTCCTGTAGAAATTGGCATCACGTTGGTGTTGCGGCTATGGATTGTGTGTATGTTTTAAGAATTAAATAAGTAACACTTCTTTATTTTCCTTAAGTGGTGGTTTGTGTGGGAGTATTTTTTTTTTTGGGGTGGGGGGGTTGCAGGGGTTCACAGCTTTGCTAAAAGAGAAGAGCAAAGCAGGCAGGCATTCGACTACACACAGACTGTATTCTACTGCAAGCATATTCAAGCGGGCACTTAGGGCTGCTACATCGTTGGCGTGAATAATACTAAACCGTAATAAGCTACCAGCAGTGACAAGCAGATCTGGCAGATATCATTTGGAGAACCTATTGCTGGCATCTCTTTATCTGTGTGCTTGTGCGTAAGCAGAGTCAGTATGTTGTAGCCTTAACTGTGATTGCCGAAGTAACTGCTTTTGCACCTAGTCAACTAAGCACCCGTAGATTTAGTAATCACCAGTCAGCCCCCCCCCCCCAGGAGACCACCAGATTTGATCTAGAGCTTCCAACATGCTGGGGAGAAGTCCAAGAAAATTGTATGCACTTTGGTGGAAAGTACCAATGCATTAATAATGTACAGTGCATTACAGGTGATTTGTTTACCCAGTAATTTTGCAGAAGTTTTAAAGCCTTCTTTAATGGAAATTGGTTGCATTAAAGGGGGAGGGGAGGAAGGATAATAGGTGTGTTCCCCACCATTTTCATTTAGGGCCCCCACCCACCGCTATGGGGTGGGGGCCGGGGGGCGGCAATAGGTCCCCCCCCCCTTCAGTTTACTAGCCCCCACTCGTGTGGCACGGGTGAATGTTCGAAAGCTGGGATACTGGGGTTTTTGCTTTTTAACAGTGAGCAGCCATAGCGAGTAGGAAAAGAATTTACTAGTACGAAGTAATCTTTACTTGGTATTAGTAAATTTGGCTCTATGACCAATTTAGATCTTTCATCCTTTGGGTAGATAGCTCCCTAATACCGTGAGAATTAGGGAGCTATCTACTAAGCTGCTGCAAGATGAAGCCGCGGCATGGATCAGAATTTCATTAATTCGAATGAAATTCTGATCCGAACAAAGTCCCTTATTGCGTTCTAAGACGAATGGAGAAACTGTTCTTGTTCTGTTAGGATGAAATTTGGTAGTTTTGCAGGCGTTCTGTTTAAGTGACAGGACGTTCAAGAAAAGTGAAAGGAGGCTTCACAGGGACACGGAGGAAAGGTGAGAATTGTGGGAAAATTGCCTTGACCACAGGAAATGGAACACACTTTGCTCCTCCGCTGGTCAAAGCTGGTCAAGCATAGGAAACCTCCATAAGACAAATAGTGCCTACTTTGTCTTGTGTTTTTAAAGAAAACTAGAGCAGATAGGAAGAAATGAAGAACAGATCCTGACCAAGGTAGAGAAGAGAAATCGATTAAAGAAAGGTAAGTTCGGCATGACAGTGCCGCTTTAAGGATAGAAATTTGGTTGCATGCAGAGAGAAGGTGCCAAGTTGTGTGCTTCATTAAGCCTGGTTTGGATATTGGCAATACATGTTTTACAATGATTCCCTTAACATGTAGGTACAGGAAGATGTCTCCTGTCGGAAGGGCATATTTAGAGGCTAAAGTAGGGAATAGTATTAGCTAGTTATTTTCTAACAAATTGTCTATACTATTATCTGCCTCACACCATCCCTGGAGATTCATGTTAGGGGTAAGCAGAGTTATAGAGGAAAGGGGTGCCCGTCCGAGACATGAATTGGCCCAACACAACTATTGTGCCTTTTGGTAGTAGGCATAAGAGAAGCTTCACTGGGTTTGAATCTCTTGGGGATCCACATGTATCCCTGCAAATCTACCTGAGATAGGCATGCCTGTTCCATTTAGCAGTACTGCCCTCTACTTGTAAACGTATAGCCTGCGATAGAAGTGCGGCTGTGTGGTATGCTTGCATGTTCAGTACGCACAAACCTCCCCTAGTGGTGTGAAGAAACAGTTGTATTTGTTACACAAGCTAGGTCCTCCAAACATATCTAGTAACTAGATGCTGCATGTTCTGAAAGAAGGCTGCTGGGACAGGGATGGGCACTAATCGAAATACATATATTTAGCAATGTAGGTAATTTTTTTTTTTTTTTGTGTGCTTTCGATGCCTCTAGGAGTGTAAATCAGATTTCATATTTATGTAGTTGAATTTGTAAACCTAAGAGAGGGATTATTGAGTATTTTATAGTCTACTCTCCAGTCCTATGTGTATGCAACGTTTAGCTTCAAGAGGGCTCTGGGGACTCTTCCAATGGGAGGCGCCTGGGTTTTTGTAATTTTCAATTTAAAGTGGGAAAGTTTGTCAAAGTTTAAGCATGCTGTGAATTGCTGTGAGAGAAGTGGATGGATTAGTTATTAGTAGGAGGATGTCATCAGCAAAGTGGATAAATAGAAAATGTTTGGTTCTAAAGGAGACTCCTTATGCCTGGGTGTTGTCTAAAGTAGCTAATATAAACAATATGGGCAAGATAGGACATCCCTACCTGGCATTGGTAAGCATTGGCAAAGCACCTGACGTGACACCTGAGCGGAGGGCATTACTGCTCTAATTGCTGGTGTGAAGCTAAAGGCTTCGAAGACTTAAAGGATCACTATAGGGTCAGGAACACAAACCTGTATTCCTGACCCTATAGTGTTAAAACCACCATCTAGCCCCTCATGCATCCATAATTATAGCAAAATCTTAATGTATTAAAGCCTGAAGCTGTAGACATGCATGCTGTTTGCCTTAGAAAAACATTGTCAGGAGTGGTAGCCTGATCCAATCACAGTGCTTCCCCATAGGATTGGCTGAGACTGACAAGGAGGCAGATCAGGGGCAGAGCCAGCATGATTCAAACACAGCCCTGACCAATCAGCGTCTCCTCATAGAGATGAATTGAATCAATGAATCTCTATGAGGAAAGTTCAGTGTCTGCATGCAGGAGGAGGAGGAGATACTGAATGTTTGGATGCATTTTAGGCAGCCATGACCCAGGAAGGATCTCTGACAGCCATCGGAGGCGTGGCTAGTGGAGTTATCACTAGGCTGTAATGTAAACACTGCATTTTCTCTGAAAAGACAGTGTTTACAGCAAAAAGCCTGAAGGTAATGATTCTACTCACCATAACAAATTCAAAAAGCTGTAGTTGTTCTGGTGACTATAGTGTCCTTTTGAGTCATATATTGCCCTTTGAGCCTGTCAAAAGCCATGAATAGATTGGAGGTAGGTATTAGATGTATCATATGCAGTAAATTAAGTAACTTTCCAGTATTATTGGAGCCTTGTTGCATCTTGACAAACCCTGTCTGGTCTGAATTTTATTTATCATGTAAACGTATTGTAGAGAAGAGTTTTGCCATCACAATTTAGCAGTGAGATTGGCTGAAAATTGGGGCAGTGCTGTTGATCTTTGCCTGGTTTTGGCAGGTTTATGACATGGGCAACCAGCATTTCATTCGCCAGGGCTCTGGACTCTTTCCCTACGTTAAACACTCACCAGATGAGGGCCAAAAAATCATGACTTTACATCATGAAATTAGTAAAATCTGGTAAGTTTATTAAAGGACACAGAGGCTCATATTATGCTAGTTCAAAGCTGTGTTACCACAGTAGAAGAAAAATGTGGAATTGGACGAAAATAGAACTCCTGAAAGGTAGATTCAGGGACCATTCAGCAGCACGTAGGAGGTCTTCCAGTCTACACCCCAACGTGAAGGCTTTAGATGCCATAGCGCCTCTAACAGAGTGTGCTCCGTACGTGGAAGTGTCAATGCCAGCTGACGTCATAATCCATTTAACCCATCTAGATATTGTAATTGTGAAAACAGGTCGATGTGGATGTCGAAAAGCTATAAATAAATCCAGGTATGAATTGTCCCGTGTTGAGGATGTCCTGTCTTCATATTCCTTGAGCCAATCCACTGGACGTAGGTTATTATGTGGGAAAGCCGGGTAAAAAAAACGATGTGATGGATGTCTTAGTACATCTTGAGATGTTAAAGGTGAGGTCATCTGGAGTAAGAGAATGTGTTGTAATATCCAGTGCCTGAACATCTGAGACACGTTTACAGGAAATTAAACAGAATAACATAACCAGCTTAGCCGGGAATTGTTTTAGTGGAAGGTCTTTGTTCTGAGGCCAAATATCAAACAATCTGAGAACGATGTTAACATCCCACACAAGGAATATTAAGGGTGAGGTGGGCGTGCAAACCTGATGCCACTAAGTAACCGACACACTAAGGGGTGTTGGCCTGCTGGGGATCCATTCGAACCTTGGTGGCTTGTCAATATAGCCGATCTACAGAGGTTCACCGTACGGTATGCCAATCCGCATTCAAAAAGTTCAGTAAGAAAACTTAAAATGTGACTCACAGATGCAGATAAGGGATCCAGTTGCCGTTCCATGCACCAACCATTCCATGAGTTCCAGGCATGGAGATATGATTTCCTTGTCCCTGGAGCCCAAGCTCCTGTCAAGAGGTCCAGAGTTGTTCGTGTAACTTCTGTGAGGATACTGAATCCTCAGAGAGGAGCCAAGCCAGTAGCCTGAGATGTCTTTGGAGTAGAAGTGAATGACAGTTCCCTTCGAGATCTAGCAAAAAGTCTGAGGAGGCCAGGCGTAACCTCGGGTAATCTATTGACATTTCCATGAGCGTAACGAACCAGGGTTGAGTCGTGCAAAACGGGGCAATGAGAATCAGTAAAGTCCAGTAACGTCTGAGATGAAGAAGTATCTGGGCAATCGGAGAAAATGGAGGGAAAGCGTAATGGCAAGTGTTCGGCCGTGATTGTAGGAAAGCATCTGACGCCAGATCTTCCGGGTCAGATCTCCAACTGAAAAACCGTGGTAGTTGGGTATTCAACCGTGATGCGAAAAGGTTGATGTCTAGGGGTTCCCACA